ATTTGAGTACCCACATGCATTTTGATATATTTTTTATATATACATATATAGAAATATGAAAAATATATGAAAAATTGATGTGGGTACTCAAATGAAAGGTCTTTATGAGTATAACATCGGGATGTGCTTATATCTTTAAAAATGTCATTATTTCACAAGATACAAGGTCATTCCTTAATTATGTATCTAGAGATAGAGAATTTTCGAATGAGGCCAAAAAACTTATCACAATAAATTGACTAACGGTGAGAATGATATGAAACCTTGAAAAGGCAGAAATTTAAATCAAGACCTTTCCAATGACACTAAATTTATTAATTAATTAACTAAAAAAAAAAAAACGATTTTATTATATGATTATCTTGGACACATAATTTTTCTTATTCTTTTAATAATATAGTTTAATCACCACTTACCGGTTTATTATCACTTCAAAATAATTGGATCTTCTTAAAAGATGATTACTATTATTATTGATAAATATTCATCACCACCTGATTGATTAAAAATAATAAAAAAATTTATCAATAAATAATTACAAACTATAAATAAAATAATTAGACTAAAAATAAAACCCGGAAAAAAATATACAATTATACTCACTAAATAAGAATAAAATTCAAGGAAAAGATACTTGTTGAGCCACGTTTGAACGACGACTGACGTCGCGACGTCGGGGTGCGGTCGGCGCCACCTCTCACCCTCCCAACAAATTTCAAATATACACCCTGTGTCATAATTGCAGAGCCAATCATTTTAATTCCTTCCTTTCGTAATAAAATAACTTTCTCTATAAATTTACTCAAGCTATAAATATCATAGCTGATATATTTTTTCTTCTTCATACTTTTATTGTTTATTTAAAGAAATTTTAACTAAAAATATTTACAAAAATTAGACACCCGTTAGATTGTAGTCTACAAAAAGGTTTATGTATAAAATGTATATATGAAGTGGCTGGCTACAGGTGGGCGTATGACGTAATTCGCCCACGCGGACCCTTTATTATCGCAAAACACCACCCGAGCACCCCAACCACCAACGGTTACGATTGAGCATGTGTCTGTTTGTTACGACATAGAACAGTAAGAGTGTCGCTCGAACGCTTCATGATTGCTCATTTTTTTTCCATTTCATTTTTTTTATTTTTTTTATCGCTGTAATATAATAATGACTAGCAACCTTGCAGTTACTATATGGACTATAAATAAATAAAATTTTGGTTTATTATTAAATTATGAATTTTGTTAAATTACACGGTACTTCCTTTAATATTGATGTTTTTAAAGATATAAGCTCATCCCGTTGTTACACTCGTCAGGAGCTTTCATTTAAGTACCCACATGCATTTTCATATATTTTTCATATATACATATATATAATATATATAAATATATGAAAAATTGATGTGGGTACTCAAATGAAAGGTCTTGGTGAGTATAACATCAGGATGAGCTTATATCGTTAAAAATGTCAGTAGATGACAAGATACAAGGTCATTTCTTAATTATTAATATTTTTAAAGATATAAGCTCATCCTGATGTTACTCATGCATTTTGATATATTTTTCATAGATACATATATACCATAAAATATGAAAAAAATTATTGTGCTTTTTTTTTCTACTTCATCAGTATCATAATTTTATTAACGATAATAAAACTTTTATTTGATTAATTTTAAATTAAACTGAAGTCAGCTGTCATTTTTTACAAGTAAATTACTATTAAAAAAACATTTTTTTTAAAATTACAACAATAATATTTTGACACATCTACAAGTGGAATTTTTTATAATTATTCATTTGTTGAAAAAATAAAAACCAAAAAATTATCATATGTCAGGTGACTTCAGTATCATAATTTCAAGGCTCAAATTAAAATATTTTTTCTTTATAAAAAATTTTTTTGAATTAATTATCAAGATTTTGAAGTGATAAGTCCTAATTAATGTATAATTTTATAATTTTACGATTCTCTTATATTGACTGATAATAGCTAAGTGCCTTATTTGTCATATTACAGGTTTTATACTATCTAGATGAGCTAGCCTTTGTAAATTTTGGCTGGATTGAGCTCCCTAAAATTGTTAAGTTAGAACAAAATTTTTTTTTTTAATAACTGGTTAATAATTGTTTAACGTAAGAATGAAACTAAATTACACACAATTATTTTCATTAATAAACCTATTCAATAGTGATCTATTAATTAATTTAATGGAATATAAAAAATAAGGTCCCGCCGAGATTCGAACTCGGGTTATTGGATTCAAAGTCCAATGTGATGCCGCTACACTACGGAACCTGTTCGATTCTTGGGGTTTTAGTTTCTCTCATATGAAAGTCAAGGCAAAGTCTGTTTCAGTTCACGGAAAGCCAGTTACTAAATTATAAAATTTTATCTCTACATAGTAAGTATAATTAACTACGTGTTAGAGCTGAAGGCTATTAAGAAATTTAATAGATAAGAACTATCAATGAAAAAAGTACACAATTGTAATTTTTTTGTTTTTTTTATATATATATATTTCCATTATATTTATTTGATAAGTATACATAAATATCTTAATTGTTTAATTCAATATGATCAAATAAAAAATGGAAAAATTATGGGATGATTTAAGCGTGATTATATGATGAATGAAAAATTATATTTATAGATTACAAGCTGGTGGGCATACCGGAATGATTGTTTCTGTAAGAAAAAAAAAAATAAATAAATAAATATAAATAAAAGCAGTACGGCTGCCCAATTTCAAAACACAGTAACTAACATTTAGAAATTTTAAAAAATTTTTCTTATTAAAAAAAAGTTTGCCTGCCAAATTGATGAAAAATTTGATTTATGAATAGAAAATACTTGAATATAAATATTTTTAAGAAAAAATACTTGAAATTAAGGTGTAAAAGTTATAAAAAATGCAGCAATATTAAAAAAAAAATTAGGTATAAAAATTTTGCAGCTACTGTATTTTGAAATTGGGCAGCCGAGTTAAAGTAAGTAATAAAATAAATATTCAAGTTACCAAATAATTCTATTGACGTATTATGAGAGCCGTATTTATTGCTGGCTTTGCAATAAAACATTCCGTATTGTCTTTTTTCAACAGTAATAACACGAAGAGTTGTGTCAGATATTTCATCAGCTGTAGCGAAGTGTGATATCCGATAGTCTCGATTATTACTGATTTCTTCACCGTCTTTGATCCATGAAATTGCTGGTGGAGGATAAGCTTCTACGTGACACTCTAAATCCTGGTCATACGTCAGAGCTTGACCAACATAAGGTCGCTTGGCTGTAACTACTGGGGCAAATTCGACTTCTACATTTATAATACGACGATGTCCACGTCCGACTCCATTTGTAGCAATACAATAATAAATTCCACGATCATCTTTAGTAATCGATGGAATAGTCAATATATTTCCTCTGCAATAATAAAGGTATTTTTTTAAATAACAATAATTGATGTATTTATCAAGAAAGTAATCAAATTACGTACTTAATAATTAAGCCTCCACTCGAAAAAGGAACAGATTGTCTTCGCCATGAAATAGTAGGTGCTGGATAACCATTAGCATAACATTCAAGTTGGACACTTTTTCCTTCAGTGGTAATAAAATTATTCGTTGAATTATCGGTTATTGATGGTTCGAATCGTACTTGTAATTGCACGTATGCTGGAGTCGGATTATCTACAGCAACTTGTACTCTACATTCGTAAATACCACGATCTGTTTGTTGGACATTGTCAATCTGTAAATAATTATTTATTTATTGCAAAAGAACGCAGATCCGCAGTATACATTAATAGCAACAATAAAATATTTCAAGTTATATTTGAATTTAATATTAATATAAATAATGAAAGGGAAGCTAAAAATAAAATTGGTGATATGATGAATGTATTAGTTATTTAGTATTGTATTTTTGATCTTAGTTATGAAAGCAGATATTAAATCTTCAAAGAAGTTGATATCTTGGCAGTGTTCGTTGACTAAATTAGCTATCCTCCTTCTTTGGACCATGGTAAACATAGTTTTTTGTTGTCTTAACAACGTCCAATAATAAGGACTTTTATTGAAAAAATAAAAAGGACAAACTTCAGGCTGCTCATCAGGATAATAATAAGGACTTTTATTAGCTGGAGTTTGTCCTGGTGCTCCACTTGATAAAATTCCTTATTAGTATCCTAGAAAGCAGCCTAGAGTTAATTCTTTTTATTTTTCGGATAAAAGGCCTATATTATTATCCTGATAAGCAGTCTGAAATTTGTCCGCTCAATCGTAAACATCAAATCTATTTATTTTCTCCATTGTCAATTTATTTAATTACTATCTAGAATTTTAAAATTATTTTTGTAACTAAAAAATTAATTCTATTTTGAAGGTTACTTCGCTTGAATTCTTTAAAATTAGAATCATTTAAAAAATTAAACAAACAAAAGTAAAGCTTGAAGTTGGAAATCGTAACGTAGCCTAATTTATTATTTATTTTTTTGCTTTTTTTTTTTTAATTGCTAAATCTCGCATCTGATTGGTCAACTAAAATTTTTAATAACTCCAAAACCACTCAAAATTTTTAATCACAACTCAGGAGTTTTCTGCTCAAAATTGTCTCCTCTATCGGATTATTTTTGCTGTAAAAGTAATTCTGGATCACCCTGTATGTTGTCTTAAGCTTGGCCTTGGATGGATAATTTCAAATTGTTTCCGTTTCTCTGGCGATTCAATATATCCGTTGACGGATTTATAGAAAAATATTTAATCGGCAACTTGTCGACGACTTAGGAGACTATTGATTTTAAGTTATTTAATTATAATTCTTTATTTATAGAAAATTTTAAATATTACTATTATTTCTTTATTCATCAGTAATGAAGTCAAAATTTTTTGCGGCCTTCCATAAAAAAATAATACAAAGTATAGAATTTTATGAAAATAATGAAATTAAAGGCAACGTAAAAATAAAAATTTTAAATTAAAGTCCAAATTAAATTAGATTACTTCAATCGACTTAGATGTACTACTATTATTATTGTGATTATTAACATACCCGAAGAGTGTAAGTTGAATTGTCGGCATAATAAGAAATAGAAAATCTCGAATCTCCAACAATTAAAGAAGTTCCCGAAGAAATTGGCAGTCTTTCTTTTTCGCTCTCAACTTTTAACCAGAAAACTGGATATTCATCGCCGTATACTACCGAACATTTTAATTCGACTGACTGTCCAATATCCACGATTTGTTCCTGGGATAGATAAGATATCGTTGGAGTTCTTTGAGCATAAGTAACTAAAAAGAAAAATAAAATTTTATTGATTTATAAATAAAATTGTTATATAATAGAAATATTAATAAAAATAGCATAAAGTCATCATTAGAAACTAATGATTAATTAATAATTGAATTTCTTGGATATTACTGTAAATATGTAATCATACTTAAAAAAATGTTGATTATAATGTCTATTATTTCTTCAAGAACTTATAAAAAGTGAAGGATTAAAAAATTCTATTGAAAATAAATGAGATTTCTTAATTAATAAATATTTAAAAATAAAATACTAAATATTTTAATTTAATTCAAGTTGAAAATGAAATAGCAGTTTGTCTGTTCTTTCAATTGTTAACTATAGAATAAAATTATAATAAATCAATTAAAACTTACTTTCGGTAATTGATGCTATAGCGAGAAATATCCCCAGAATGAATTTCTTCATTATAAAAAATAAAATTTTATTTATTATTTTTCAGTTATGAGTTAAATTCACTGAGAGCTAGCACGTCGAAGCAACTGGTGTTATAAATATTTAAAAGGAAATACGAATAAATAAATCAAGAACTTTAAAGAAAATATTATTATTATTTTGTTGACTCTTGGATGCACAGGGTGAGTATGACAAAAGTGGAATGTTGCTGGGTATAATACAATGGATGAGTGAAGCGATGAAAAAAATCCGGTTCTTGATTTAGTAGTTTCAAGGTAAACTCAATGCCACTGCGCTAGTATATTCCATTGCTTCTTATTTGTGAAAACTTATTATAGTAGTAGGTGTTGTTAACACCCAGGGTTTTAAAATATTCAAACACGCACTTTATCATGAATATATAACAAATTATTTCCATAAATTTTTTATCAAGACCTAATAAAATTTTTAATTTAAAATTCATCTGTCAGAAACTTGAGTTTTATTCATTAAAAATAAAAAAATGACATTAAATAATACACAACAAATATATAGTAAGATATAATTGAGGAAATTTCTAAATGATATATAATTAAATTAAAAACAATTGTAACTAACGGCTGATTTTTTTTATATAAGTTCAGAGATTTTTATCACTGTTATCAATTGTTGGTAAATTTGATTTTTAGTTTGCCACAACACTTATCAAACAAAACATTTTTGTAAACATAACCTATAAAAATAATAACTATGTATTTACAATCACAACGTTTATATGTTTGAGATTGAAAAAAAGATTTGTTAATTAAAATATTTAGTGTTTAGTAAGAAAATAAAATTGGAATAATGAGTACCGAAGAAAATTCATCAGTAATAGTGGTGAAAGCAAAACCAGTGAGGAAAGTTTACAAAGCAGGAGCTGTTCGTGTAAATAAAATTCCTCAAGAATTATTAAATGATCCAATATTAAATGCTGCTATTGCAGCGTTACCTGAAAATTATAATTTTGAAATTCATAAAACAATATGGAGGATAAGAGAATTAAAAGCAAAAAGAGTTGCTCTGCAAATGCCAGAAGGTCTTCTACTGTACGCAACGACAATTGCTGATATAATTCAAGATTTTACTGAGGCTGAAGCTGTCATCATGGGTGATGTTACTTATGGTAAATGTTAATGACATTTGTTAGCTGTCACTTTGCAAATTTTTAATTTTATTTATCAATAAAGTTTGTTCCTAAAAAATTACATTTTTTAATTTTTTTAAAATTTCTACATGTCAATTATTTTTTTGCCATAATTTCTTTGTTATAAAATTCTTAAAATTATTAAATATATGCTAAATTTATTTTCATTAAATAATGACACAAAAGTTAGCTGTCAATTGACAATTTTTTAGTTTCATTTAACGAAAAAATTTTTTCCAAAAAATTATTTTTAACTTAATTTTTTTAAATTTCTAAATGTCAATTTTTTTTGCCATAATTTATTAGTCATAAAATTCTTAAAATTATTAAATACATACTAAATTAATTTTCATTGAATATTATGTCTAAAATTTTATAATTTTTATTATTATTGTTAAAAAAAAAAATTAAAATACTAATTTAAACAATTTATTTTAATACAGGAGCGTGTTGCGTTGATGATTTCACAGCCCGAGCGTTAAACATAGACCTGTTAGTCCACTACGGCCACTCATGTTTGATTCCAATCGACCAAACTCAAGGCATCAAAGTTTTATACATATTTGTGGACATTAAAATTGACACTGCACATTGTATAGATTGTCTAAAAGCAACCTTGCCAGTAATAACAAAAATTGCTCTTGTGAGTACAATTCAATTTGCTGGAACTTTACAAGTAATTGCCAAAGAAATGAGGAGTGCTGGATATGAAACTACTGTCCCTCAAAGTAAACCTTTGAGTCCTGGAGAGGTACTAATAATTTATAATTAAATTATTAAATAATTTAAATATTGATTCATTTGTTAATTTTTTATTAAAATTTTTTTTAAACAGATCTTGGGTTGTACTGCGCCACAAATCCGGTGCGCAGATGTTTTAATTTACGTCGGCGATGGTAGATTTCATTTAGAAGCCGCTATGATCGCAAATCCAAAGCTCCAATCCTACAGATATGATCCTTATGAAAAAAAACTAAGTGAAGAATTTTACGATCACGATACAATGCGAATGGTGAGACAAAACGCTATTGAAAATGCCAAAGGTGGGCAAACAATTGGTCTTATTCTTGGGACACTTGGTCGTCAGGGTAATCCAAAAGTACTGGATTCACTTGAAAAGAGAATAATTACCTCAGGAAAAAAGAATGTTAATATATTGATGTCTGAAATTTTTCCTGATAAAATATCAATGTTTTCCGACATTGACGCTTTCATACAAATAGCGTGTCCACGATTGAGTATTGATTGGGGAACAGCGTTTACTAAACCTTTCTTAACTCCTTACGAAGGAGCTGTTGCACTGAATCTTTCGAAATATGACCTGGAAAAACCTTATCCAATGGACTTTTACGCTTCATCAAGCTTAGGACCTTGGACTCCTAATCACAAACCACAAGAGCTTGAAAAGCAAAGTGATGCTTGTTGCGGAAAATGTAAATAATTACTTGAATAAATTAAATTATTTGTATATCGTATATAAAAAAATTTAGCACAAAAATTAATGAAAAAGTATAAATTTTATTTGAAATTGTTAAACAAGAAAAATTGATTTAATTTATAATTTTAAAATTCAAACGACATTTTTTTTTAATTACAAAATGATGAGTATTTTTACTTAGAATCAAGCATTACAAATTAAATAAACACTAGACATTATTTTAGACAATTTTTCAATTATCGGAGCACTTCAGCAAAAAACTTCTGAAGAGTCGCAGAATAGCCCTGAAGGATTTGTTGTACGAACATCACCAGTTTTTCCCTTGTTATTTTTCCTCTTGAATAAGCAGACACTGCATTCATGAATTTTACATACATAAGTTCATTGTTAGCTCTTAACTCCGTAGCAACACTAGTCGAGAATTTCGCCAACTGTTCAAATGTACAAAGAAACTTAGACTGATCCTATAGCTGTAGTCCTTCAAAACGGTCACTCCAATTGTAATTATATTCAATTTTTTATAATTTTATATTAATATTATGACAATTGTTAATAATAATTATCGCAACACTTATGGCCAATTCTATTTGCCTTCCAACTCCAAAAATTTAATTATGTTTGTTTGAGAATAAATTTAATTTCTACTATGACTGTTCGTCAATATAGACTAAAGTAATTTGAAGAAAATTTAGAACCGAACGGAGTATAAATACTGAGAGGGTGTTATTAATTGTTTATGACCTTGCACCTTACAGGAATATTATAATTTTTTTTTTTCAATATTCAAAGAACTGAATGTATGTATAGACTGTACATAGTATTATATGAAATTTTTGGAATTTGTCTATAATTTACTATTAATATTGGTATTATTTCTATATTCTTACCCCCACATTAACGCATGGGCAGTTTTAGAAATAAATACCCATTTTTGTCCCATTTCTAAGTAATTTATCACACAAAGAAACTGACTAATTTTCTAAGAAAAATAATTACTATCATATTTAAATACTTGTGGCGATTCTTTTATTTATTTTTTCAATAACTAATTACTAACATCTCAATAAGTCCCATACAATCCTCTTGTTTTTTTTTTTTTTATGATGCTAAAATTAGCAAACGTTCAACAATTTTGACAGACATTTTTTTAAAAATTATAGGATTCTTAAGCACTGAAGACGATAATATTTTCAGAAACATGGGACTTAAAGATTAAAACATAGCAATTCGTTGGGTAAAAAAAAATTTTAATGTTTTTGGGGGTGATCTTGAAAATATTTCAATTTTTTGATTGAGTGTCGGTGGAGTCAGTGTACATGTTCAAAATTTGTCCCGTTTAGGTAAAGGTTTATTCAAACGTAAGTAATTAAATATTTAATTAGTTTGTATACTTAATTAAATTAATTAATTACAGACAATAATGCAGGAGGAATAAGTTTCAGGGGAACTGCTCTAAATTGCATTTCATGTTGTAGAATCCGATGACTCCATTTGGTCCTGTAATTGAAAAATTAACAGCTGAGACGCCGTTCATCACTAATCAGGGTGGCGATTCACCTGGAAAACCTGGAAAACCTGGAAATGTCAGGGAATTTGAAATTTCTGGAATAGTCAGTGAAAAGTCAGGGAGTTTACTTTAAAAAATAAACTAGAATGCTGTAGAAATATCAATTATTGTATTTTCAAAAGTTTAATTATTTAATTTAATTTTCAAAAGAAACTAATCTTGTTTGAATAGTTGAAAATCTGCAAAAAAGTATAACATAATTTATAGCTCTAAATTTTTACTCAATTCTAGATATTAGATATAAATTTTAGCATACAAAAATTATTTTTAAAATAATTTGCAATTATAACGGATATTTGAATAACAATTATTTTTTTGTAGGTTCTGGAATTTTATTTTTGGTCAGGGAAAAGTCAGGGAATTTTGAAATTAGTGTTCAGTCGCCACCCTGACTAAATCATCAGCAGCGGTGAAGCTTATAACGCGCCTTGGATCACCAGTGTCGTTCCGAAAGAAGGAATTTATCCTGGAGGAGGTAAGAACTAAACTTTACTCAAATTTGCTAGAAATTATAAAAATTTTATTTTGTTTTCATTTTTATTTTATTAAAATTTTATTTTTTAAATTATTAAAATTTTTAATTCATCAGAATTTTGCGCAAGATTTTTTTTACCCAAAATTTCTTGTGCTTTTGTTAATTTACTTTCCAAATTGTTTTTATCCTTGTCGATTTGCGCTTTAAGACTAGTAAATTCATTCTCACGACTATAGTCTATACTTATAAGTATAGAATTTTGAGTCTCAGATAATTCAGCAGCAAGTTTATTATTCAAGGCCATTTGTTTCTCCAAGGTCGCAACAACTGCATTGCACCGATTATTTAGTTCTTTCAAATATTTTTCATGATCTCTCTCCATTTTTTGCTTATCTGCTTTCAATTCCTCATTTTCGATCAGTGCCTTCTCTTTACTTTCTAACTGGATGTCCAATTTTTTTTGAAACTCTACCACTTGAGATTCTTCAATTAATTGAAATTCCTTCAAATCTTTGTTAGTATTTGTTTTAGGTTGTTTTACTTCAGTCAACTGAGCTTTTTTTCTTCAAATTTCTGTTTTAGTTTATCGTTTTCTTCCTTCTTTTTTTCCATATTGCTTTAAACTGTTCACTTGATCAGTCAAATTATTTCTTTCAAGAGTCTCCGAAGCCAATTTATCTTCTACTAATGAGAGATCATGTGTTTTTTCATCTATTTTCATTTAGGTGTTCAAATTTTGTTCATTAACCTGCTTCAACTTCAAATTAGCATCATAAGTTTAGTTTTTGATATGATTTATCAGCGACCTCATTGTATAAAACAATTATCTATATTATTAAGAGAATAAACGAAATTTTGTGGGCAGTGTATTTATATGATAAAATGGGTTTTTATGGTTAAATTTGGTATCGTTGCGGAAAGGTATTGGCCTGGAGTTGTGTCTTTTCAAGGTTTCATATCATTTTCACCGATAGTCAATTTATTATGATAAGTATTTAGGCTCCATTGGAAAATGCTCTATCTCTAGATAGATAATTTAATTATAGTATATTGTGTAACGAGTGCGACAAGTTGTCGATTGCCCGCGAAAGCGAAGTTGAACGCAGGAGCGAAGCGAATGCGGTCATTCGCTTGAGTGAGTAATCACAACATCGCACGAGTTGCACATACTATTTTGTATTACAAATGTGGCAATATATGTGGGCACAAAATCAGGGTCCAGAGGCAGAGCTCCGGTGAGGTCTAGGGAAATATAATCTCCTACAGAGCAAGGCATAAATTTGCCAGTGAAATTTTATACCTTTCCACAAAATAATAGTGTTTTTCCGTGGAAGGAGCTAGAGTATTTTGCTTTTCGAATCATTCTGACTACGAATAATTTTATCATTATTCACTCGCCGAAAACCATACTTTATTTTTTCCTATTTTGTACATATTTTCTACCCTTTAGTTTCGGCTAAAGTGCTGCACCTACAGTTGGAGCACGGTCCTTATAGCAAGTTATATACAGTACAACCTGGTTATAAGTTACGTTGGATGATCTACTCACTCTCACAGCTGTTATATCTATGTTTTAAATATTTCACGTTAGTAGAAGAGAGAAAGAAATATAACTTGTAACTAAGTTGTACTGTATATTCTAATTATCATCTCAAAGGTTATTGCAACTCTGTGCATAGTGTTAGTTACATTCTACCCACGTGTTATAATTCACGATATTTCCTAGAAATCGTTTAGTGCAACATTTTTCCATTCCAAATTTATCGAGTGAAAATATAAAAATTGAATTGGTGGATAGTTCTTAAATTTTTGTTGAAAAAACTTAATATCAATAAATTGTTTAAATAATTGTAGCCATCTTCAAATAACCCTCAGAACGTAGAGATAACTAATTAGTAAAATCTAACCATTTTCTGGTTATTTTGATTTTTAGTAGTTACTAAAGTGAATAACAACTCTCACTCTTTAATTATTAAAATAATTAACAAAAATTGTAATTGTAAAGAATAGATAATAGTATGGTCTTAGTTGCAGACCGGCGTAAGGAGGGTCTGGACGTAGATAAACATAATATGCATGCTGCAATTGATAAATATCGTTTAGCAGTGCGTCAAGCTATTTCAAATCATCAAATTGGACATAATAGCTCCTTTTTTGAAGATAAAATAATTAACAATGCACCTATAGAAACGACTGGACCTTTTGCTGGATACACGGCTTTGCATATAGCTTGCATGGATGGAGATGAAGAACTTATAAGATTATTAGTTGAAGACTACCATGCAAATGTAAATGCTGTTGCTGACGATGGAACTCAACCTATTCAGCTGGTGCCAACGTTGATGCTGAAATAGGAGAAGAACTTTTTACAACATACATTAAAAGTGACAAATGGCGTAACGATTTTGGGAATAAGATGACTTTGTTAACTTTTTCGATCCTAGATCGTAATAATTATTCGTTTACGATATCATTAATCAAAGGCAAAGCAAATTTGAAAGTCAAGAGTCTGAAAAATAAAACACTGTTGATGTATGCCATTGAGAGTTATAAAAATCCTTATCATTTCGATATAATGCCATCTTTATTTATAAAAGAAGTAAATGATCATGAATGGATAAACGCCCGTGACAGTGATGGTTATACTGCTGCCCACTATAGATTAAATAAAAAAAAATTAAAAAATGATCCATACTTTGGTGATGACGAACATCATATTCACGTGATGGATAATTTATGTAGCGCAGGTTTAATTGAGGATTTACTTGATGCCGGTGCTGATGTTAACGCTACCATAAATGATGATCCAAATACTCTATTAATCAATATAGCGGCTCGCAAGCATTATTCAAAAACACTGGAAAAATTGTTTTGCATATCATGAGAATATTTCAAAATCAACGGCTTTGCATTCTATATTACAATTTAAAAATCCACAGACACAATACAGTATTGATATGAAAAGAATAAGTATTTACTTAATTCTAAAAGACCTTATTTATAGGCGTACGTTTGGTTTATTCGTTCCTGAAGGTGAAAAAATATTGATGGAGAAGTTAATTGCTGAAGACATAGATTTCAGGAAGCTAGCACACACCTACGAGCAAAATATTATTCAAGGGGAGTTAAAAACAAAAGTGCTTAAGTATGATGATAAAAGTATAACGTATTTTGACTTCATAATGTCATGCTTTGATGATAGACGATCAGGTTTGATAGTGAAAAATAAATCCTTAATAGACGCGTTCGAAAATACTTTTCCGAACCCTGAATTTTCTACTTTATTTGAGTCACATAGGAATAACCGTGAATATATTAATATTTTTTCCGTGGAAGCTTTTATTACTGCTGATTATTTGTTCTTCCGAAAACAAATTTCGAAAAGAATAGAAAAAACTTCAAGAAGACTTGAGCAGTTAGAAGAATTAAAAAAAGTAGAAAATCTCCGTAAAGCTATCCCTTTGTCATATGAATTGGTATTAATAATAGTAGAATATTGTAATTATCAAGAATTAAAAAATTTTATTCAGGCTTTTTATTTATAATATGTTCACTTTTGTAAACAATACTAAATAATTATATTAGTAGTAAATAATAAAAAATAGTAAAGAAATAATTACCTTGGTATTTATTTATTCTCATTATTCTTTATTGTGTATTAATGTAAACCAAATTATTGTAAATATTCGGTTACTACCGATAACGTATTGTAACATCATTACTTTTATTTAATATGAAAATTAAGTTAGCCGACATTTGAAAATTTTTAGAATTTTTTTTATTAAAAAATTTATTACAAAAAAATTTTTTAAAAAATGTCACTTGTAAAAAACTTCAAAAACTATAAGTGCAATTTTTTAGAAATATTTTTCTGTTTTAATTTAATTATTAAAAAAAAATCAAATAATTAAAAACGTCGGCTAACTTTAGTATCATTTATTTAATGAAAATGAAGTTAGCCGACATTTCAAATTTTTTGAATGAAAATTTCAATTAAACAATTAAAAAAAAAAATTGTCACATGTTGAAAACTTGAAAAACACTACAAGTACAATTTTTTAGAAATATCTTTTTAGTTGTAATTTAATTAATAAAAAAAATTAAAAATTTTTAGACGTCTGGTAATTTCAGTGTCATTTTATTTATAAAAAAATTCGTTATAAAGATCGTTTTTAAAACAAGATCAAAGAATAAAACACTTACGCCACCTATGCAAGTTTCCCTAATCACTCCACGAGATGTCACTCTGTGTAGTTTTCAGTGCAGCAGCACAATCCACAAAGCCGGATAAGGAAGATGGCCGCCATCAGTCGCCATCATGGTATAGCAGAGTGCTTCGTTTTATCACAAGAAGAATTTTGATTTAGCACTATAGTAATGTATTTAATAGCGTGTAAAAATATCAGATAAAGTGTGTAATTTGTTTAAAATATTATTATTTAAAAAATAGTTATAAAGGGTGAGTCTTGCCGACTGACGGGTGAAATTCCCGCTCAAGTTATACTCCACGATTATATGCTCTGCCCCGTGTGCTAAGGCCGACACGCGCCCGATTCTGTATTGTGCTACTGCGGTTGTTATTTAGTGTTGTTTAATCCGGTTTTTATTTTTACATTTTTTTATAACAATTATTGACATTTTATATTTGATTTTTTTTTACAAATATATATACTTACATATGCACACATAAGTATATATGTGGATACGTGTATGTGTATGTCTATAACTATATATACATGTACATATATTTTATAATAATTCATATAAAGTGTATAGTTTAATGAAGATAATAATATTTAAATTTACTATTATTAAATGTAAATTCGGCAATTATGGCTAAGTTAATAATTACGACAATTAAATTTGAGGTAAACAACTGGAGCATTTATCATAACATTAAAGTTAGCAGACTAGAGAATTTTTTAATTTTTATTATCAAAAAAAATTTGTTCCAAAAAATTGTATTTTTAATTTTTTTAAATTTCTACTTCAATTTTTTTATATTTTTTTTTTTGTCATAATTTATTTATTAAAAATATGCTAAATTAATTTTCATTAAAATTAGCAGTCACTAGAGAATTTTTAAATAAAAAAAAAAAAATTTGTTCCAAAAATTATTTTTAAAATTTTTTTAAATTTCTACATGTTATTTTTTTTTTGCCATAATTTATTTGTTAAAAAAAAATTATTAAATATTTGCTAAATTTATCATGCATTTATCTCAATATCGTGTGATAAAAATTATTTTTTATTTAATAAATTAACTGACATTAATAATTAAAATAAATTTATTTTTCAGATCGAGATATTGGAGATATTTGGAATATAATAGAGAAAAGGGTATACACAATAAGGTATGCCTGCTGTGAGCGTATGTGATCCGGTAGCGGCTGCACTCCGACACTCATTGGAGGTCGGTCAATCTAAGTCCTCCACCGAGGATATTACTATCTCATTAACTAGCGGTGCGTCAAGAATTTTACAAAGTGAAGTTCAATATGAAGAAACAGATGGTTACAAATCAATAGTTTTAGACCAACTTAAAGCCAAGTACATTGTATTAAGTCTCCCGAATTCTAACTTGAATAATCATCAGTCGGATAATAACACAGGATCTAATACAGCTCGTAAGAAAAACGAACAAATTAATAAAATGACAAGGCCTTCCTTGCCAGAGCCAAAAATAACGCTCTATCAACCGGAAAAAGTTACCCTAGGTTGGGATAAATCATTTCCTGTTGGTTCCGGGTTAATAAATGTTGGAAACACATGTTATTTAAACAGCACACTTCAAGCACTTTTTCACGTACCTGCTCTTGTTAATTGGCTACTTACTGACTCTCATCACAATTCTAAGTGTGAACAAAATGGTATATTTTGTTATTATTATTACTATTATTAATAATATTATTTTAGTAAAGAATTTGGTAATTATTTACAAGTAAGGTCCAACATTTTAATTTTCATTTTTTTTTTTAATGAAATTTCTGTTTGACTTTATTTATTTATTAATCATTAGAGAGTATTTAAAATTTAATAACATTAATTTAAGAGAAAAATTAATTAGAATTTAATTAATGAAAAAATGAGAAAAAAACATTATTGATATATTATTAATATATTGAAAATTATTAAAAAATTATTGATATATTTTTTTTTTAAATACATAAAAAAAAATGAACAATAAAAAAAAATTGATTATCACAATTTTTACAAATTTTTTAGAAAATTGTGATATTCAACTTTTTTCAAATTGTTTGTATTTATATATATATATATATATCAAAAAAAGATAAAATAGAAATTTTATCCAAAAACATGAGAGCTAAAATTTTTTCCAACTTTTGAAGGCAAAAAAGCTATCGAAATTTTTATTTTTTTTTTCACGGTATTTTTTATCATAAATGCTGTAAAAACAGCAGAATAAAAAAAAATTAAAAATGTTAATTTTTCACCTAGATATGGCCAAAAATGAGATTGACCCCACTTGTAAATAATTACCTAATTTTATTTCAGTAAAGAATTTTATTAATAAAAATTTTTTCTAGCAGGCGGGGGAGAGTGTCTTACATGTGCAATGGCAAAAACTCTTCAATTTAGTCATGAAAAATCCGGCAATGCTATTAAACCATTTTATATTTATAATAAATTAAAATGTAAGCTTTTTATACGTAAATTTATCATTATAATACCACCCAGAAAAAACAAACTTCTTGTGCTAAAAAAATTTTAAGTAAGACAAAAGTTATTTTGAAGCTCGAAAAAATTTCCTGGCTTGAGAAATTTTTTCATTCAATAATTTTTCAATTTTAATATTTTCAAAGCCAAGAAAACTTACAATCCACACAAGAATTATTTTTTTTTTTTTAGTACAAGTATTTATTATTTATTATTTTATTTTTAATTTTTTTAGTAATTTGTCGGACTATGGTCCCAGGACAACAAGAAGATGCTCATGAATTTTTACGTTACTTACTCGAAGGAATGGAGCGTGCATATTTGCAGCGCCACAAAGCGACAAAATTAGATAGTTATTCAAAAGAAACCACCCCGATAAATCAAATCTTCGGTGGTTACATTCGTACTGAAGTAAAGTGTCTTAAATGCCAGCATGTTTCAACAACCTTCCAACATTTCCAAGACTTACTGGTAGACATCCGGAAAGCTAACACTCTAGACGAGGCACTGTCCAGTTACTTTAGCCGCGAGGAGCTGGACAACAATGACTACAAATGTGAAGCATGCAAAAAACGAGTACCAGCTACAAAACAATTTAGCTTGGAGCAACCACCAAAAGTACTCTGTGTTCAATTGAAGCGTTTTAGCGTACTCGGTAATAAAATATCGCGTCACATAGGTTTCAAACAGACTGTAAATATGGGACCTTATTTGTGGCGTGAACCTGGAGAGCCTCCACGAAAGCTTAATTACAAATTAATGTCGATTATAACCCACATGGGACCATCTGTTGGATGTGGACATTACACTGCTGTTGCACAAGTATCGTCTGGTCAATATTATTCCTTTGACGATTCTTGCGTTCGTTCGATAAATATTTCAAATGTTTTTAATACTAATGCATATATTATGATTTTTGAAATGGAAAGTCCGGCTATTAATAATCAACTGCCACAGAATGTTAAGTCCAATGGACTGTCTAATTTAGCGACATTTTCAAACAGTTGCTCTTTAAAATCTTCAAGTCCTAAGCCATCAACTTCCGGGCTTGCTGCTTCTGCTAATGGAGTTATTAAATCAAATGGTTCTTGTAATAAAATAATTCGAGACTCTGACTCTTCACCTTCTCCATCTTCGTCTTTTTCATCCGCAATTATTGGACCACAATTACCGCCATCAAAATTACTTGAACAAAAAACTACTCAGCAGAAAAATTCTAATTTTATTGGACCATTATTGCCAAAAATTTCAGCTGAAAAAACGCAACCGAGACTTGTAATGCAAATTAAAAATGGAAAAGTTGCTAATGGTAATAATGGCAATAGCTTGGTGCCATATGATGGCTCTAGTGATGAAGAAGATAATTCCAAAAATAATAACTGTAATCCAAATACTTCCACTAAATCTTCAACCAGTGTCTCTAATGGTGTAACAAAGTCAGATAATAAAATACCCACAGCTACAAAAACAGATTTTAAGACACTTAAATCTGTTAATACGATTGCGCAAAAATCTTTACCAATTCCTAGTCTTACGTCTAATGGATCCGCAAGCAATAACAATAGTTTAAATAATAATAGTAATGGCAACAATAATACCAATAATAATAATAATAATAATAATAATAATAGTAATAATTCTGCTGGTCAGAGATATCAAAATGGTAAAATTGAAAATAATAATGGTAAATTATCGGAAACTAATGGGAAAGATAAATGCCATCAACCAATTCGAATTAAAGTCAATAGTAATTTAGAAGATAAAATTCCTACTAAAGCTGCGAGTAGTATAAGCGGTTGGGAGGTTTCCAAAGATGCTCCTTCTCCAACTTCGGGAGCTACACCCAATGGTTGGTCTGTCACGGATAATAACAAGTAAGTTTTTATTTATTTTTCATTTTATTATTATAGTTACTAGCTACGTTGCAGACACTAAGTGACTTCCGTGACTTGTGAAGTATAAGTAAATGAAATTTTGCTTTTTAAATGATGATTTTTATTAAATTAAACTGTACTTTTTTAACTATTGACATTTTTAAGGATATAAGCTCATCCCGATGTTACACTCGTCAAGAGCTTTCATTTGAGTACCCACATGCATTTTTGATATATTTTTCATATATACATATATATATGATATATATATAAATATATGAAAAATTGATGTGGGTACTCAAATGAAAGGTCTTGATAAGAATAATGTCGGGGTGAGCTTATATCTTTAAAAATGTCAATAGTTCACAAGATACAAGGTCGTTTCTTCATTATGTTAAATTGCACTGTACTTTCTTAACTTTTGAGGTTTTTGAAGATATAATAAGCTCATCTCGATGTTACACTCATCAAGAGCTTTCATTTGAGTACCCACATGCATTTTTGATATATTTTTCATATATATATACATATATATAAATATATTTCATATGTACATACAAATATATAAAACATATGAAAAATTGATGTTGGTACTCAAATGAAAGGTCTTGATGAGTGTAACATCGGGGTGAGCTTATATCTTTAAAAATGTCAATAGTTCACAAGATACAAGATCATTTATTAATTATTGATATTTTTAAAGATATAAGCTCATCTTAACATTACACTCATCAAGAGCTTTCATTTGAGTATCCACATACATTTTTGATATATTTTTCATATATACATATATATAAATATATAAAATATATGAAAAATTGATATGGGTATTTAAATGAAAGGTCTCGGTGAGTGTAACATCGGGATGAGCTTATATCTTGAAAAATGTCAAGAGTTTACAAGATAAAAGGTAATTTCTTAATTATGTACATAGAGATAGAACATTTTCTAATGGATTATTATTATTTACAGGGAAGAGAATAAAAAATCAAATCACACATCCAACAATAATTCAACACCCAGTGCAGCAGCACCACGAAATTTCAACGGAACTAATCGTTCTGACACAGTATCGCATCTTTATAAGATGTCACATCGTGGTTACGGATCTAGTTCAGGTAAATTTATATTAAAAAAAAATTAAATAATTCTTATGAATACTTATGGATTGAGTCTAATTAAATTTTGTAATTTTGTCAAACAGTTACAACCTGGAACGGCTCCCGAACACAGATGGACCGTGAGGTAGACAACGAACGACGTGAAGAACGTAAGCGTCATTTCAACGCAGATGATGAAGAAATGGACAGAGGAAGAACGAAAAAAGTAAAATGCCATCGAGAATATGAAAGCCGCTCGAATCCGGGGTACAATCCTTTCCAAGAGTATCACAATGGAAAATCCTGGAACCGATCAAACGGCGGTGGAAATTATCGACGATACTATAATAATAATAATAATAATAATAATAATAATAGTAATAATAATAATAATAATAATAATTCGAGTTATAATCGACAGGGTCACGGAAATTACCGACATAGATATCATAATAATCATCGTGATCACTATCATCGTAGGTAGAATGCAATAGGATTTAATTTAATAAAATATTAATTTAACAATATTATTATTATTATTATTATTAATAGCTATTAAATAGCCAGTGAGGTTTAAGCGGTATTGCTGGAAATTAATTGTATAAGAACATATTGCATTTTACAAGCATTAGACATATTTTAATTAGTTAAAAGTATAAATTGAAATTATGAAAATACAATTTATTAAAATTAAGACAAATAAGTTCCAGAACGTAATTTAAAAAATAATTATTATTATTTTTATTAAATATAATTTTACTATTGTATTCAATTGATATAATTATTATTATTAATCTCATCACACTACTTTATCAAACTAGTTATTATTATTAAATAATTTCAGTATATATGTAAGGAATAATATTATATAAAATAAAATTAAAAACCAAAGTTTTTATTTTTTTTTTTTCGGGGTAATTTAGTAAATATTAATCCGTCCTTTATTATTTCGAATCCTCGAACCCTTTTTGTCTTTTAACTTTATTAAAATTTTTTTGAAGGTAATTTAAATTTCCTTGGATAAAATATAATATTAACTCCTTACAAGAACTGAATTTTTTCCGTAATGTATATAAGTAAAAAAAAATGTATGCGATTTTGTTATTTAGAATTAATCATAATTATTCGTGAAGCTGATATATTATTATGATAGTTATAAATAAAAATAATTTGTAATTTACACTTGGATGATTTAAATTGGATTTTTACAATTCATTTTTTTTTTTTTTTTTTTAATGAAATTTGTGCACATTTTAGTATATAAATAATTATGCATAATTTATTATATGCGTGAATAATTAAAAATTATTAAGAATAAAAAATTTGTTTAAAAATTAATTAATAATTAATTTGTCTAAAAATTAATTATTAATTAAAAATAACATATAGGAATTTAAATTATGAAGAAATGTTACTAAGCTGTATAAAATTAAAACTTGAGCTTGATGTTATTCATTGCAGCTAATTATTTTTTATTAAATTGTAACTGTTTGTAAAATTTTTCCTAATTTTTTTTTATTATATATACTTATTCATTTCTATATGTACATTTTTTTTATTCATATATATGTATGAAAAAATATTCCCTTGTTTTGATATTCAGAATAAATTAATATTAGTAAAAATAAAAGAAAAAATAATAATTGTTACAAATTTATAGTAAGAACAATTATAAACGATTTATTAATCGTCTAGCTTCAATAATTAAAATTTTTAAGTATACATTATTGTTATTATGTTTATTTAAAATTAAGAATTAATTCATAAGAATTATTAATATTTATTTGTTAAAAAAATTGTCAATATTTGTGATTTTTATTTTAATTGCTAAAATCGTATTAAAATAAATTAAATAAATGACATTTTTTGTTTTTAACATGTTAACGATTGTCATTTGTTTTGCTTTTGTTTTTATTATTCAGTCTGTCATTTTTAGTAAAAATTTATATTTCCTACGATGGAAGAGCTAGAACAAATAGAATATGTACCTGAAGACGTAATTGTTATTTCGGATCAACAAACTTTGATAGACACGCTCGTAAAAAATGTAAGAAAATTTTTTTATTACTCTAATTTATTAATAAGATAGTTTTTTTTATACTTACCACAGTTGGAGATTTTGAGGGCAGAAATTCGTCATTGTAATTTAATTGACTCCAAATTTGATAAGAATCTTCAATTTTTCAAAGAGAATAATAATTATTTAACTACTAATTTACAATCGCTGAGTAGTTTGGCCGAGCAGCAACTGAACATGGAAATGAAAAATAAAATAACTGAATTTGTCAAACACATTTATCAATCCTGGGAGTTAAATAATAAACAAGTATGTAATTTCTATTATTAATAGAATAAGAAAAATTTCGTCTTTGGGATAGTCACATGATAAAATCTGTTTTTTTAGTCAAATTTAGTTGATCCATAATTAAGAAATGACCTCCTTGTATCTTGGGAAATATTGACATTTTTAAAGATATGAGCTCATCTTGATGTTACAGTCATCGAGACCTTTCATTTGAGTACCCACATCAATTTTTCATATATTTCATATATTTATATATATGTATATATGAAAAATATATCAAAAATGCATGTGGGTACTCAAATGAAAGCTCTTGATGATTGTAACATCGGGATGAGCTTATATCTTTAAAAATATCAATTTTTAAGAAATGACCTTGTATCTTGTCAACTACTGACATTTTTGAAGATATGAGCTCATCTTAAGATTACACTGATCAAGACCTTTCATTTCAGTACCCACATCAATTGTTCATATATTTCATATATTTATATATATGTATATATGAAAAATATATCAAAAATGCATGTGGGTACTCAAATGAAAGCTCTTGATGAGTATAACATCGGAATGAGCTTATATCTTTAAAAGTATCAATAATTAAGAAATGACCTTGTATCGTGTCAACTATTGACATTTTTAAAGATATAAACTCATCCTGATGTTACACTGATCAAGACCTTTCATTTGAGTACCCACATCAATTTTTCATATATTTATATATATTATATATATGTATATATGAAAAATATATCAAAATGCATGTGGGTACTCAAATGAAAGCTCTTGATGAGTGTAACATCGGGATGAGCTTATATCTTTAAAAGCATCAATATTTAAGAAAGTACAATGCAGTTTAACAAAAGTCATTATTTTTTTAAGCAAAATTTTATTTATTTATAGTTCTCAAGTCACGGAGATCACATAGTGATTGCAAGGTTGCTAGTTATTTTTAAATTTACTTAACCATCTATTAAAATAAATAATTAATTTTTTTTACAGATAAGTGATGAGTACGCAACTTATTCCGTTGCCAGCCGGACTGCTTATGGAGTCGCATTAACATCGCTTCTATATGAAATAAAAAACCAAGTCAGTACTGCCGAAATTTATCTTCAACTTGGAGAGTCTCTATATGACCAAGAATATCTAATTAAAGGACATATTTACTGCAGTGAATTAAATAAATTACTTAATCTTCTAGAAGGATGTGATGAAAAAGTTCAGCAGTACTTGATGATCTCCAAAATGAATTACAATTTACAACAACTTAAAAATTTAATTGAAGAATTTTCACTCTCTAATAATTTATTATCTTGTAATTATTCTGATAATAACAGTGAGGTATTTAAATTTTTATATCAATTTCTTACTGGTGAGCTTCTTGGATGGGAGCCAGTAAATCCCGAGTTTATTCTTAAAGAAAACGCTCCTAAAAAACCGGTATTTATAACAAAAAATAACAATCGCCGTACTCAATTAAAAAGTTTACAACATTTACCATTATTTAATTAAAAATTTTAATTTATGTTTTTTAAATATTAATATAATAAAATTTTTTGTTTTAAGTTTTGTTTGTTCAATATGATTGTTATCATTTATTCAAATGAAACTTTACAATTATCAATAATATAACAGAAATAATTTTTACATAATTTTTTTTCTTTTTTTTTTTTTTTTAGCAGAAGAAAAATATTAATAATAATTATTATAGCGTCACTGTTTGTAACAAAAAGACTAGACTTTAAAAAATACCTTCGAGATTTGGTAAAACAGTTGGTGCACCAAGTTTAAGAGTCAAATCACGGCGGCGCATGAACATCGGTGGTAGTATTGGTGGTCTTTCAGGAGGGGCTCTTGATTCGGGCGTATAATTAGTAGCAACAGGTGCCCAACCTTTATCAGTTAAGCATTTGTAGCATAATTTTGTCTCTCCTAGACATTGAGAGTGAAATCCGTGCCCGCAGCCAAAAAATACCGTGTAATCTGTACACTGACTGAGAATTTGTCGACAAACTGGACAAACTGTGCAGGCACTGGCACACGCTCTTCCTGCATCTCTAAAATAAAAAAAAATAAATATAAGACCCAGTTATTGACACTTGCAATTTTATTTTAATTAAAAAAATAAAATGTTCGACAAAGATCAATTATCTTAGAATTTATAATTCAAAAATGATCTATATTATTAAGAGAATAAGAAAAATTTTGTCTCCTGGATAGACACATGATAAAATCTTTTTTAATGAAATTTAATGGATCCAGAATTAAGAAATTACCTTGTATCTTGTGAACAATTGGCATTTTTAAAGAGATAAGCTCGTCAATATTTAAGAAAGTACAGAAGAATTTACCATATATCTGGCGAAATATTGACATTTTTAAAGATATAAGCTCACCCTGACATTACACTCATTGAAACCTTTCATTTGAGTACCCACATCAATTTTTCATATATTTTATATATTTATATATATGTATATATGAGAAATATATGAAAAATTGATGTGGGTAGTCAAATGAAAGCTCTTGATAAAAGTAATATCAGGATGAGCTTGTATCTTTAAAAATGTCAATAATTCTCTAGATACAAGGTAATTTCTTAATTATTAATATTTTTAAAGATATAAGCTCACCCTGACATTACAGTCATTGAGACCTTTCATTTGAGTACCCACATCAATTTTTCATATAATTATATATATTACATATATGTATATATGAAAAATATATCAGAAATGCATGTGGGTACTCAAATGAAAGGTGTTGATGAGTGTAACATCAAGATGAGCTTATATCTTTAAAAACTTCAATATTTAAGAAAGTACAGAGCAATCTAATTTACTAGAATCGATTTTTTTTTTATTAAAATAAAATTGCGTGTTAATAACTGCACTTTCTACCTTAAATAAAAATGATTACCAATTAATACAAACCAAAATTTCTACATACCTAAGAGTTTTTTTCAACGACTCATGTAACTCCAAACTGACCAACTTAGCAGTTTTCTCCACCAAAATTTGTTCGTATCTCGAATGAGTCAACACTCCCGTGAGCAACTGTCTAATATCCCCAACAGTCCCCGAAGTAGCCAAAGGATGTTTCAAAATCCTCTCTAGCACAATCGACAAAGCATTAGTCCCACTTAGCGCCTCAAGAACAATCTTCAACAATTTCCCCCTTAAATTCTCCAACTTATCCTTTTTATCATTCTTATCACTCTCCAAATCATATGACTTTAAAACAGTTTCAACAAGCGGCATCCAGTCCAAATTCCCCGCAGACCTCCTACACAATCCCGAAACATTAATCGTAGCAGCCACAACATCTTCCTCACTTCCACCATCACAAAAATCTCTCAATTTTTTCTTCAAAATTCCAGACAACAGCTCAAAAGCTTCCTGAAAATTTCCCATTTTTTCATACATCAGCGCCAGAGCTTCCTGATGCCCACTTTTTTCCACAATAACCAAAGCTTGATCCAGCCTACAGCCATGAGCTCCATTCATATGACCAACAACCCTTGCGGGGTCATACTGACACATAAGCTCCAACAATCTCTCCAATTGCTGAGTAGCCAACTCAACCTTACTCGCTTCCTCATCATTATACTGATTAATTAAAAACAGCGCCAATAAAAGCGAGTATTCAAGACTGGGATCATTTTTCAATCTTTCAATAATTTTATCAACCTTCCCAGGAATTCTTTTAGCAATTAAACCAGCTATTCTATCAACATCAATCCCAACCAAAGCCGGAATATTATCAAGAACAACTTTAATAAACCCACTTGTGGAAAGTTTTTCCAACCAGGACCAAACTTGGTGCTGACGATAGCAATCAGCTATAAAACACTTACAAACAGACGTCCAGTCATCCCTAGCAGTGTAAATCACCTCCGCAATTTTGTAATAATTAACCCTCTGCGCTAAAGTTAACAAAACATTATCCGTAATTCCATTTAACTTATGCGTATAAATTAATTGCAGCACCGCATTTTCCCGCTCTAATTTTTGGTCCCTTACAATTTTACTACTCAAACTTTCCGTGCACAATAATTCAACGAGCTGCTTCAAAACTCCAGGCTCCAAAGTAACATTTGTATTAGCAACTTGGTTGGCAATAAAAACCAAAACCGGTGATTTTTTATTCTCATCTAAATAATCCTGACTTTGCGGACTAGGAGGCGTAGAAGGAACCACAATAGTCAATAAAATATCAATAAGCCGCTGACGTTGCCTATAACCCATCTCAGTTTTAAACTCCGGCTCCTGAAACGCCATTGAAATAACATCCAAAAATCCCCTCGCATCAAATTTTAACAAAGTACGTAAATAAGGGTACTGTCTTTCACTATCCGCTGCTAGACTAGAGTGCTGAGATAGTAACGCAGCTAGTATCTGAGCTTTTGCACGCGGAGGCTGTCCTTCTGGTAAATCTCCTCGAGGAAATCCTCTACCTGCTAAGCAGCAGCTTGCATAAACCAACAGCGCATTCCCAAGTTTAATACACTCTCTTGACAAAGAATCCTTATTTATCAAATAATTCTGCAAGATTGGCATCAATTGGTGCACTGGCGCAGTATAGTCACCTAGTGCAACTGTCTGGAGGTGTATCAGCGCCTCCCAGAGACACTTTTCACGGCAAACAGTAGTTACCTGGTGCATATCCAAGCAGTCTATGTCCAATAAAACAATTATTGTTTGCAGTGACTCAAACCTCTGCTCTTTTTCATACAAAGCTACCAATTGCTGGGCTATTAACGGAGGCAATCTCGGTGGAAGACTTCCGTCGAGCAAAGGTGTTTCTAACGCACGTAAAAAGTAGCCTTTTAGGAGCGTATTGTCACAAACTAAGTCCCAAAGTGGGCCGAATAATAAATGAGTGTTTTCTAATTGCACTGCGTAGTCAACGCAAGTTGAAATTATTTCATTTTCTGCGTTATTATTATTGTTGTTGTTATTGTTGCAAAAAATACTATCACTAGGATTTATATTACTGCTGCTGCTACTGCTGCTAGTGTTACTAGTAGTTTCTGTAGTTGCAGTTTCAGAAGAAGCAGCAATTGTTGGTAATTTATTAAGCTCTTGCATATACTGCATAAGAACCTGACTCGTTTTAATAAAAGTCATGCGCTTCCTAACTTTTTTAAGCCCACTTAGCCCCACAACAGCTTTCCCTTTATCCTGATAAAAAGCCAACCCTAGAGCTAGCGCCTCAGGGAATCTTTTTTCAAGAGTCAGGTACCTCAATCTTTCAGACCAGGTCCTTATAAAGACAATATGAAGCCTCCGAGTTCCCAAAAGAAGCAGCTGACTTCCGTAAGTTATTACTGTGTTATAAGAAGCGCGTTCTCCTGCTAACGCCATTGCTTTAGAGACATTTCCGCCTGTAGAGAGTCCCTTAAAGTGACTTGAAGAGTAGGAAATTCCCACTGGGCTCATGTCAATTGTCTCTAGGTCTTCTTGGGTTCTTACATCAAGAAGATGGAGCCGCTCTTGAGTGTCTAGGATTGCTAGAGATCTAGTATTGAGCCATCTTAGGTTGCTGATGATGTAGGACAGTGTTATCCTGCGGAGGGGCGATAGTCTGACTCTGGAGCCTGCTTCTGAGCAGACTTGATAAAAATGTACTGTTGATTCTCGAGCTAGTGCAAGTACTGGGTCGATAACTCTCGAAGCGTCGGGCGCTTGAATCACTACTAATTGCCAGGAGACTTGAGGAGGCGCTGTGGCTGGGCCTAGAAGCGGGTGAGTTAGCACGACTCTTATCCTGGGTCTTATGCAAACTACTATTACTTTTGATAGTGTTGCTAAAGCTACTAGAATGTAACTCTTTAAGGGATGTCTTGGTAGGTTATTTAATAAAAGAGGCTCCAAGGTGCAGACTTCTCCTCTTGAGCCGCTGAATAAGCATTTACTGTCGCAGCCTCTGACCCCCATTGTCCTGGTGAAGGTCAGTTCAAAAACGGACCCGCCGCTGTCGCTGCAAAGAGCCAGGGTTGGTAAATCCGTGAACTTAACGTGCAAGACAGCTGTTCCGGGTGGGTGGACTTCAGTTAGGACTCTCAAAACTTTCCCAGCGCTGCTGTCTATCATCAAAATGTGTCCTCTTGCGAACCCAGCTAGCAATCTACTTCCGTCATGGTTGAATCCTAGAGCTGAAACTGAGCCCTGGTGTCTGGCTTCTTGGTTGCACCAACGCAAGGTTTGCTTTGAGTCGAAGGCTAGAATTAAGCCGTGGCTGGTCCCTATTACTAGCATGTCTCCACCGGCTGCTACTGCACTCGCTAGGCCGCCGTTTACTTTCTCACTTGCTGACTTTATTTGAGATGTTATGCCTCGCATTATTGCGTGCTTTAATATCACACCTGATAGTGGGAATTCAGGGTTTCTTGTCTGGGGTTTGTTTAGGGAGTTTAGGGATAGTAAACTTCCGATACTTGTCGTTTCACTTCCGTCTATTGGGTCTGGGCCGAGAAGGTTTGAGGGTCCTAAGACTGAGGATGAGGAGGAGGCTACTGCTGAATTTATATCGAGCTCCGTTCCGGAGAGAGATGCACAGTCTGGCTCTGTTAGGATACTTTCTAACGAGGGTAGCTTGTCCACTGCTGGTATTGCATATTCAGTGTCGTCCAACTGGAATTTTTTATATGATAATTAATGTTGCACATATTTAATAATTTTTTTTAATTTTATAACAAATTACAGCATAAAAAAATAAGAAAAAAAATTGACATTTAGAAAGTTAAATAAATAAATAATGCAATTTTTTTTAATTATTTTTTCGAACAAATTTTTTTGTTGAATAAAATTAAAAAATTGTCTAGTGACAGCTAACTTTAATGTCATATTTTTTATTTATTTATGAAAATTAATTATCACATTTAACCATTTTTTAATTTTTTTTAATAAATAAATTTTTTTCAAAAAATTATTTTTAAAAAATTGCATTTTTTAAATTTCTACATGTCAATTTTTTTTTGTCATAATTTTTAGAATTTTCTTAACAAATAAATTATTGGAAAAAAAATTGACAAGAAATTTTAAAAAATAAAAAATGCAATAATCTTTTGGAAAAAATTTTTTTGTTAAAAAAAAGGTCAAGTGACTGCTAACTTTAATGTTATATTTATTTATTAATTATTTTATTAATTACCTCATCAATGTCAAGATTAATTGCTTCAGCCGCGAGATTCTCTTGGGATCCAATCTCTGATTCAAATCCATTTTCAGCCATTTTTTTTTAGTTTTCATCTACTTTTAATATTTTATTATTAACATTTTTTATCAACAATTATTTAATTACTTTTTACTCACATACAAATACGTCAGATTATCACTATCTTTGTTGTTATTATTATTAATGTTATGACAGTTTATAGATATAAAAATTAATAAAGTGATTTGTTAAAAACATTGTTTTTCATATAAAAAAATTATTTTTTCCAATTAAATATTACTGTTATCATTCTTATTATGATTAATTTGATATAATTGTAAAATTTTAACAATATACTTTTTTATCATTTTGTTTGGTTTTGGTTCGGTTAAATGACATTATTTTATATTTTGATAATAATAATAGTGACAATGTATACCTCTCATTTGACATGTGGATGTAAATATAGTCGGTGGAAGTTCAAAGATGGCGGTATAGTCTTCATCTACGGTGTTCCTTTAAAAGTAGTGAAAAAACTTACTTACCGACAAAATTGTTTTTAATTGTTTTAATCTTAATTTATTATTATATATGTTTGATTAAGTTAAGAATATTAAAAATTATGAATTTATTTTTATTATCTTAGAAGAAAAGAAAATTAAAAATGATTAATTTATAAAAAAAAAATTTTTTGACATTTACTATTAAGATTTTATTATTATTAAACGTGAAAAAGAAGTTAGCTGACATTTCAAAATTTTTAGAAATTTTTTATTAAAAAAATTTCAATTAAACAATTAAAAAAAAAAAAATTTCACATATTAAAAACTTAAAAAACTATAAGTGTAATTTTTTAGAAATATTTTTTTAGTTGTAATTTAATTAATAAAAAAAAAATCAAAAATTTTTAGACATCTGCTAACTTCAGTGTCATAAAATAAATTATAATTAAATTAGCCGGCATTTGAAATTTTTCGGAATGTTTTTTTATTGAATAAATTATTACAAAAAAATTTTATTTATAAAAAACTTGAAAAATTATAAATGCAATTTTTTAAAAATATTTTTTAGTTTCAATTTAACAAATTAAAATAATAAAAAATGTCTGCTAACTTTAGGATTATTAAAAATTCACTGTATTTGATTAAGCGTGGATAATTAAGGTAAAAAAATGAATTTTTTTTTAATTCTTCTTTTAAAAAATATCTATAAGCGATAAAAATTAATTTTTTATTTTATAAAACACTATTGAAAAATCTTTTTTACTAGAATACATCCTTATGTCATCTGTAACATGATGTAGTATCCCAGGCAACACAACAACGTTCCATTTATCTACATCAAAGTCAACGAGGCAAAATACTAAATAAATTCTTTCATAATTACAATTATAATATCGTAAAATTTTTTTGATTGTAACTTTAAAAGGTATTTATTAAAAATAATAATTAATCTTTTTCTTACAGATGTTTATCACGTCAAATCATTTTTAATAATTATCATCATCATTATATCCTATTGCAATTACATAATTTTACCCGTAATTTGGTATAATAATGAACATTCAACAAGAATTTATGTTTATGTAATGTATACATACATCTACTTCTAGCATTTATTCAGTTATTTGGATAAATTATAGCGTGTATAATGATTGTCATTATTATTAGCAGACTACTGCCAGTAGTAAATTTATATATATTATACAGTGTCACGAATATCATTGCGGCATGCAGTCCAAATAAATTACATCCATATACTTCTATATGTTCATACATTTATAAATACTTACATCTATTGATTAGCTATTCTTCTTATTAATAATCAAAATATTGAAATTTTCTATAGAAGAAATCTTAAATTTGTTTCCCAATAAATTATTGAAGAAGAAAAAACTTTTAATACACGGAAAGAACAAGATGACACTGGATATCATCTCAGATTATACTCAGTGACATCTGAGGCGAAAAAAATTTCAGATGGTAGCTAGTATAATCCAGATTATACTGAATAATATCTGGATAATACTCATTGTTATCTGGATTATACTATCTACTATCTGAAAATTTTTTTCACTCAGTATAATCTTGTTCTTTCCGTGTAGTCTAATTATTTCAGTATCATTAAATTAAACTATCACATAAAGTTTACAAACTATGTTAATAAAATCCTTAACTATCTTAAGAAAAAAAAAAATTGTTGAAAGTTGTAAAACATAAATTAGATTAAAAAGAAGAAATAAAAATGATAATTAATGATAACTAAATTTCAAATTAATTAAGAAAGTTAAGGCTTTAATTTTTCTTTTGCTTTTTTACTTTTTTAAAGAAGAAATGATTTCATAATAAATTAGCAATGATAATAATAATAATAATTTTTTTAAGACTATATTGAACTTAATTGATATCTTAAATATAAAAATAATGTAATAAAAATAAATAAAGAATGATTATTTATAAAAATTCGATTATAAATCAAGATAATAATAGCTCAAACTTGTTACTTTTTATTTTTTAGTTTTATACTTAGAGTTTTTTTTTTTCTCAAGTTCACTGTAATTATCCTGGCGTGTTGTTCGATTTCTGGTACAACTAAATAACTAATACTAATAATAATAATAAAAAGCAAGTGAAACGAAGAAATCGTATAAATACTAATATTTATCTACGCGACGTCGCGTGCCTTGCTCCAAGTCCCCACGACTCCTATCCGAGAACACGCTAAAAAGCTCAAGCACAACCGCAATAAGACAAGCGACAATTCCGCAGTTTACTCTCAATCTTCTTACTTGAGACTCCTCTGTGATAAAAGTTCTTCTTTATTGTCTTTAGAATTTTTTAGACTTCTATCGTCTTCTTTTTAGTCTTTCAGCATCCTTCCCATTCATTGAGAATTTAATTTTTAGATAAATAATTATCATGTTGGCTAAAAAACGAGTAATTTTTAATTTAAGTTATCTTCTTGATAATTTTTAAAATTGATTTTAATAATTTTATTGTTTTTTTTTTTTTTTTTAAGGGAGGTCTTAATAAGACCAGAAGAATGGCGAAGAAAAATGCACCGGCAGCTTTGCAAACTGAAGTTAGTAATGATGATGAATGGACTAAAATTTTGGAACGAAAAGGTCTTGTAGGTAATTTTATATTAATTTTTAAATCAAGAGAAATATAAAAAATGTTATTATTAATAAATAAATACTAAAATACTAAATAAACTAATGAAAATAAATTTACTATTAATAAAAATAATTTAAAGTTGTAGATGTTTATTCAGATTGGAGTGGACCATGCACTGGAATGGTGAGCATTTTAAAAAAAATAAAAATGGAAATTGGCGGTGATTCATTAAGCTATGCGACGGTAAAAAAATAAAAAAAAAGATCATTTTTTTATTTAATTTCTTAAAAATAAAAATTATTAAAATTTAATAATTATTTTTACAGGCAAAATGTGATAATATTACTGATCTTGCACGATTCCGAGGTAAAAGTGAACCAACGTGGATGTTTATTCATGTAATCATCCATATCTAATTTTAATAATTAATTAATTAATATTTAAGTAATTGTTTATTATTTTTAAAAAATATTTATGCACATATAGAACGGCAAAATGGTAAATTTAATGTTTGGCGCTTACTGTCCGGAATTACAAAAAATGTTGACCGATGAAATTCAACGGGTTAAAAATAATGAGCCTCATGAGTAAATTAAAAATAAAAGAATAATTAAATTAATTGAATAAAATAATAAAATTTTAATTTTTTAGATTTTGTATTGAAGTAAGCGAAACAAGCCCAGAAGAAGAAAATCGTTTAAAAGTACTTGAAGAGAAGCGTCTAGCTAAAGAAGCTGCTAAAAAAGCCCAAAAAGAGCATCAAATAAAAGCTCGATATGAAGCTGAGTTGAATCATTTGACGAGTTGCTTGAAAGACCAAACGTGTTTGATACTTTATCCGTGGGTCTTTAAAGACGAAGACGGTCACAAGCGAGATAAAAAATCAAGCTTACCATACATAGATTTAATTGAAAATGTTCTTCCAATTTATTTCACAGTTGAACAAGAGTTACGTAAACATTTAAATGAAGAAATTATTTCAAAAATTCTTGCTGAGGTATTACAAAAATAATTTATTGATTAGTTATTATTTTATCGTAATACTTGCATCAAATGTTTTAGTCTAATTGGGAAATAACCCCGGATGTTAAGCAACTTTTAATGGATGGAAAGTGTATGTTCATGCGGGTAAAATTTGTCAAAAATGATACGGAGTTAAGTACAGAAGAGAGTTTACTTAATTTACTATTTGGCGAGTCAATTTTGCCAAAATTATCTGATCAATATCAGGAAGGATGGTACGCATTAAATTTATCAATTACTTTTGCATTTATTATTAGTATTATTAAATATTTTTTTACACAATAATTTATTGTATAAAAAATTTTGTATTTACTTTGAAGGGCCGCAAGGAATCTTTCCACGGCCTTGATAAATAAATAAATATTAATAATAATAATAATAAATTGATAATTATAAAAATTTTTTTATTAAGTTTCGCAGAACGTCATAATAAGCCAGCATTTATTCCTCTCGGCAAAGATAGTTTTATTTTTCCCGTTGTTTGGGCTCCGCCAAATTTTATGAATAAAATTATAGTCTTCAAAACAATATTTAAAAAATATTTAGATACTACATTTCCCGTAAGTATTAATAATTTAAATTTTCATGTTTAATTTATAAAAAAAAAAAATTGTTTATTGTAAAAAAATTTTAGTATGAAGACAAAACGGATGCAACACCAATTATAGTTTTCAAATTTGATAGTACTCGAAAAAATGAATTGAAAGTTGTTTTAGAAATGCAAGAATCTGAAGTTGTTCATTTTGGTATTTTTGAAAGAGATAAACCACCTGAAGCTAAACTTATTGCGACAAGTATTGACGAATATGAAGAAAAAGTTGAAGAAAAAACTGGGTATATTAATGTTTTTATATTATCTTAATTATTGTAAATTTTTGAGTAGGGTAAAAGTACCAGTTTTGGCCATCTTAGGGCCATTTTTTGCCACTTGATATTTTAATAAATTTGTAAAAAATTTAACTATTCAAGTAAAATTCTTATAAAATTTATGAATTAGTATATTTATACGAATTATTATCACAATACATTTGTACGGATCTCATAGTCTTGAACTTATAGAAATATTTATACAATAATTTGAAAATAAAGTGGCCAAAAAAGGTACAATGGCCACGAACGATACTTCTATCGTACATATTAATATTTTAGATACGAGACATATGTTTGCGTAGTTAAAAAAATCGGCTCAGAAGCTTTTCTAACATTTGCCGGAATTGGTCCCTACCATGTTAGTGAAAATCCCGACATAGCTATCGAGGAATCAAAATTATATTTCCCAGACATAATTCCTGCTGATGATCAATCTGATGATGAAGAAAAACCAGAAGATCTAGACGGGCAAAGTGGAGAACAAACAGCCGAAAATGCTAATGGATAGATGGCTTAATATAATTATAATTATCTGTTGAATAGTTAATTTTAATTTAATAATAAGGTAAAAAACCTAGTTAGACACTTGCAATTTTATTTCAATTAAAAAGAAAAATCAACTTAAATAAATTAATAAATATAATTTATTGGATTATAAATTTTAAGATAATTAATTTTTTTAGAACATTTAATTTTTTTCAAGTAGAATAAAATTAAAAGTGTCAACTAGACCAGTGTCAATAACTGGATCTTTTACTTTACAATTAGTTTTTTTTTTTTTTTTTTTTTTTTTTTTTTATAAGTAATATTAATAATAATAATTAAAAATACTTTGTAAGAAAATAAAACAAAATCAAATAATAAATAAGTATAAAATTCTCTGTCAATTATTTATTCAGCGAAAGAAGTAAAGTAATAACACTGATATACCAAGCAGAGTACACTGTTTACTTCTTGTAACCACAGCTGCGCCTACGTCCACGGGCTCGCTCGAACTTTCTACCCTTTGAACGCACCAATGGTTTTGTGTGCGAGTGCGGAACACCAGGAGCCGGTCCAAAGTGTTTGCAAGCTTCTCTTGCAGTACGACGTCCTTGCATAAGAACGGTGTTTTTACCAGTTGGTGCTCTGATTGCCAATTCGTCAAAAGTTATCACCTCACCTCCGGCCTTAAGGATACGTCCGCGTGCTTTAGCAGTGACTCGGAGAGCGCATACCTAGATTAAAATTTTAAAATCATTAATATAAAATACCATATATAAATATAAATTACCATGAGCATAAGATTCAAATATATAAATTAAAATAAATTGTCTTCTATTTATTTATTAAAATTATAATATATAAAAATGGACTTACTGTCATTTTCGGGCATTCGAAAATTCTAGCGTCGTCAGTAACAGTACCAACAATGACTGCAATGCATCCTTCACGGTTGGGTTTTTTCATGAATCTAACAACACGAGCCAATGAAATTGGTGGTCTGTTGATTTTACTCATAAACAGACGCTTCAGGATAATCCTGTTGAATTTGGCTTCGCTACGTCTTGCCAAGTAACGATATAACTATTATAATTAGAAAAAAAAAAAATCAATTAGTTTTATTTACAAAAAATAAATAAATAAGGTAAAAGACCCCATAGTGGCAATTTTTATTTTTTAATCAAAAAATATTCTACTTAAAATAAAGATTAAAAATTTTTTTGATCTAAGGATCTTCAAGATTAGAAATAATATATTCATAATAGAAATTAATGATTTAATTAATTAAACAAGTATTAAAATCAAAGTGTAAGTAATAGAGTCTTTTACCCTAAATAAAAAATTGATATATTTTATAAATTGTATCAGCTAATATAAATGATCTTTGCTAAAATACTCAGACCAGAATAGGAAAGCTGAATTTATTATAGCGAACGTTCAAATTGGACCAGTTTTATTGAGAAACTGACACAGAGTGCGGTTCGCAAAATTTAACAATCAATAAATTGCAATTAAATTTTTAAAATTTATCATAAAACTAACAAGTGTCTTAAGTACATTATTGAAAAGTATGACATTTAAATTAACAAATACTTGGCAATTTTTGGAGCTTAAAAAAATTAAATTTTTTAAATAAATTTTTCCTGACTGGAGTTTGTTAAAAAAATTAAAAATTGTCACATATCTCTCAATTTAAATATCATATGTAATTAAAAGACTGACATGCTTTACAGTTTTAACCTCCAAATTGTTATTCACTTAATCCATAAAAATAAAGTGCAACAAATACACAACTTGAAAATTATTTTTAGACAGTGAAATAAAGATTAATTTTAATTTTGATATTATTATAAATTATAATTAATAAAATTACCTTGACGAGAAGACGCAAGTAAATATCCTGTGACTTTGGCTCGACACGGCGAACCTTGCGATCATTTTTATGGTTAATGTCAATACCCTATAAATAAAAATAATTAATTAGAACATTTCACGATCATATTTTTCACACATTTATTGCACATAATTTAATTAACAATACATTAGTGCTTCGATGTTTCACGATATTGATACAAATTATTTAAGAAACAGATTTTTACCATTTTAACAGCGGGGCTGTACGATGAAAGAGAGAATGCTCGGTCACGAACCGCGTGGACACAAAAATCCTGGGAGAAGGGAAACAGGAAAATACACAAGCGCGCTCTGTACGCGATTGTTGTTACTCAATTTTTGTTTACAAAATAACGCGCCAAGTTAATTTTTTTCATAACTTTTTAATAATTTATTTTTTGAATTTCAAAAATAATTTTTTATAATTTCATCTAATTTTTTACAATTAATAAATTCTTATTTTTTTTTACTTGTGATTAAACATTTATAAGATCAGTAAGATGTTCGTGACTTTTTTCCAATTATCGTTTAATATCTTGTGATATATTTAATTTAATAATAGTTTGTAATCACGATCTTGCTTCCTCTGACCATGAAATATATATATATTTTTCCAACTTTGTTTCATTAGATCTATATAACACGTTACAAGGAATTTAAGGGAAAATCATCAATTATAAATGATAATTATTTCGAATAATTATCGTGACTGATGAAAAATTTTTTTTTGTTTTAAAACTTATGTAACATGTTTTTTTTTTTCTTCCTAGTGTGATAATTGGTAGGATAATATTTATCATAAAACATTTAAGATAAACTTATTGAAAATTAGAAAATTATTACAATTTAATGGAGTTTATATTTAATTTTTAATTCAATTAATCAAGTTTATTTTCTTCTGATTAATTGAGAATTTTATTAGAAAATTTAAGAATGATCAAGATTAAAATTAAAAGTATTAAATTAATCTTCAATAGAATAATTCATCTTCAAATTTTTAAAAAATTAATTTTTTTTTAATTTCACAGATTTTTGTCAGCTATTTATTATAAAAAAATATTTTTTTTATGATTAATTTATAATTAAAATCAAAAAAAGACTGACAGGTGTCAGCTGATTTCAGTATCATATTGTTGAATTGTAAACAAGTAATTTTTTAACATAAAGTTTTAGATAATATTGTTTAAAAATAAAATATTACAATAATCTGAAGACACTAAAGTTACATTATAGAAAATTTTTTATGATTATAGGAATAATTGAATATAAAAAATCAGTTCGCTTCTAAAAAAATTATTACAATTATTATTTATAAATTACACTTATAATTTTAATCACCAAAAACTTTTTTAATATAATAATATTGAAATCAGCTTACATCTGACAAATTTTTTTTATTTTAATAAAAAACAATTTGCATTTGTTATTTTTTTTGAATTTCTAGATGTGAAATTTTTGTAATTAAAATTTTTTCATAGAAATTTAATGGTTAAAAATCCAAAAAATTGACAGATATCAGTTAACATCATGATACCAAAATTAGCCAGTAATTTTTAATTTTTTTAATTAATTAAATTACAAATAAAAAAATACTTAAAAAAAGATTACACCTATAATTTTTCAATAAAAATTAACTTAGCAGATGTTTAATAATTTTAAAAATTTTTATAACAAATAAATCATAGCAAAAAAAATGACATGTATAATTTTTTAAAAAAGGACATTAAAGTCAGCCGTCACTTGGTAATTTTTTAATTTATTTTAACAAATAAATCTTTTCTGAAAAATAATTTTAAAAAAATTGCATTTACAATTTTTAAAAATTTTTACATGTCAATTTTTTGTTCTTATTTTTTTGTTAAAAAAATTATTAAATATGTTTCAAATTGATTCTCATTTAATAAATCAAAAATGCAATTTTTTGGAACACATTTGTTTGTTAAAAAAAATTAAAAAATTGTTAAGTTCCAGCTAAATCTGTCATAATTTTTCAAAACTTACATATGAAATTTTATAATAATTTTATGAAAATTAAGTTAGCCGACATTTCAAAACTTTTATAAATTTTTTATTAAAAAACTTTTAATTAAAAAAACTTAAAAAAAAATTGTCACATGTAAAAAACTTAAAAATCTATAAGTGCAATTTTTTAGAAAAATTTTTTTAGTTGTAATTTAATTAATAAAAAAAAATCAAAAATTTTTAGACGTCTGCTAACTTCAGTGTCATATAATTTTTCCATTAAAAAAAATTATTAAAATTTTCAGATATCGGCTAATTTAATTTTCCGAATAATTTTTCAATTTAAAAACTCCCGCAATATAAATATCAATACGTCGTCGGCAACAACGTCAGTGTAAAAAATATAATGCGGTTATTTGTACCGAGTTTTTGTTTATTTTCACTAGATTACGACACTTATGTATTATTATTGACGATCATCATCATAAGTAGTTTTATTCTACTTTACGTACGAGTAATCTTGATAAAGCCGGTATGCGATATATATATATATATATTTATGACAACTTGTAAACGAAACGAATAGAGATGGCGGCAATCGTATAATATGTATATGTAAAACCCATACCAGCAGTCACGGAGAGACAAGCTGTGTTAGTTTCTCTCCTCCAGTGATTTTTTAACATACTGCTGCTGCTGCTGTTGCTGTTGTTTGCAGTAGCTCAAGAAAAGCCTGCGACAAAGGACCGTTTAATTCTCTCACTCGTTAAAAGTTTTTAAATTGTTTTATATTTTTTAAATCGGTTAATCCTTTCACTTAAATTTAAATAAAATAATTAGTGTGCTTTTTTAAAGTGATAATTAATTGTGACAATTATTCATTTGAATAATATCTTGTGCGATGATGTTATACACTCTAATCTATAAAACTGGTTGATAAAACTTTTGAAATAATAATAACTTTAGATCTGGTTCGGTATAACTCTGATTTATTGTATAGAATACATACATAATAGCCGTAACAATAATAATAATGACAATAGTAATTGTAAAGAAGTATAAAAGGGATGAGAATAGCCTAAAGTACCTTGCACCCCCTTGACATTTAGCCCAAGTGGTGCACCCCAAGTAATTATTTTTATTACACTGCTAAATTATTTTTTTTTTATTCTAATATAATTATTGTTGTTGTTATTATTAGTGTTAAAGGTAATAATGTTTGATTTTTTATACAGCTGAAATTTTATAATTTTTTATCTCTAAAAAATATTTTTTTTCAATTGATAAAATAAATTTAAACAAGTGCATGCTAAGATTTGTTAAATTTTAACTAAAATTTTCTTTATCAATATTTTTTTTTATGAAAATTAATTTAGCATATATTTAATAATTTTTTTTTATTTTATAGCAAATAAATTATGGCATGAAAAATTGACATGTAGAAATTTCAAAAAATAAAAAATTCAATTTTTTTTATATTATTTTTTTGAACAAATTTTTAATGTCATAATTTTTTATCAAAATTAATTTGGGGATATATTTAATAATTTTTAAATATTATAGCAAAAAAAAATTGACATGTAGAAATTTAAAAAAAAAAAATGCAATTTTTTGGAACGAATTTTTTTGATAAATAAAATTAAAAAATTGTTAAGTGACTGCAAACTTTAGTGTCATTTTTTTTTAATTAATTATAAAAAAAAAATTTTCTCTTTTAATTTATTAATATAGAATTTTTTTGTTAAAGTTTCTTCATAATTGAGTTGTTGCAAAAAAAAAAAAAATGACAGTTCTTGTAATTTTAGTATCAATTTTTTTTTATTTCTCATGATTTAAGTGTCAATAGTAATTTTTATTCTTTGATAAAATTTAATATCATAAATTAAAAATTATTGACTCAGTTTATTTTTCAATACAATGATATTAAAATAAAAAGGAATTTGAAAATTTTTAAATAATAAAAAATTACTTGTAATATTCGAAGACTTGAAATTTTTTAATAATTTATTTTTTTAACTAATACTATCAATTTTAAAAATTTTTTTAACAAATCAAATACAATAAAAAAAATACTTCTAAAAATTTTCACTTTTAAATTTTATAAATTTTCAAGTGTGGAATTTTTTAATTAATTTTTTTTTATAATAATTTAATTGCTATAAAATTCTAAGAAAATTTTTAATATCTGTCAACTTCAGTGTCGTTTTTTTAACGCATAAATTACTGAAAAAAAAATTTAAGATGTCTTTAAATATTGTAAAAAAAATTAGGAGCAATTTATTAGAAAAAAAAAATTTTTTTCCTTGAATTCAATATAATTCAATCAGTCTAACTGCAATGCGTTAATAAAATTTTTATTTTATTAATTTTAATTATAATGAACTCATTTTATACAATAGATCTGTGTTATGAATGATTGTTGTTATTATTATTATTATTATAGTTAATATAATAGTGAAATTAATATAATAATGGATCAAGAGTCATCTCAATTACGATCGAGTACTTTGCTCGAAGAAACATTTTACATAACGTCCAAGAAGAACACCTATTACCGAGTAAAGCTTACGGAAAAAGGCTTGAGTTTAGAAAAAGAAAGTAATGGTGGTACTAAAACGGAGACAATTGCTCTTGGCGACATAATTGGCTGTAGGTGTATGAGATCAAAACGCCGAAATACTGGGAGCTGCGCTTGCCGTCCAACTATTTCAAAGCCTCAGATGAGAGATGTTGAGTTCAACGAGACATATTCTGGATGGGATCAGCTGGATACTTCGGCTTATTTATATATTTATGCGTACACGCTGAAAAAAGCACGTGTAAAAGGAGCTCCAAGACGCCAGCGTACGACAATTACCCTGAGATTTCGCAGCTTTGATAAATATCAGGACAATCTTCGGGAAGCCAGCAGATGGAGGCTTGCTATTAAATGTTTAATAAATAAAATTCCAATTCCTAAAAATTTAATGAGTCCGAGCCATGGGAATTTGGATACTCTATTAAAAGGTAGTAAAATTTATATTTATATTCTTAACGAGCAATTTTGCAGTCACTATGTGACTGCCGTGACTTGTGAACTCACTTGACTTTTGTTAAATTGCACTGTACTTTCTTAAATATTGACGTTTTTAAAGTTATAAGCTCATCCCGATGTTACACTCATCAAGAGCTTTCATTTGAGTATCCACATGCATTTTTATATATTTTTCTTATATACATATATATAATATATATAAATATATGAAAAATTGATGTGGGTACTCAAATGAAAGGTCTCGATGAGTGTAATGCCAGAGTGAACTTATATCTTTAAAATTGTCAATATTTCACAAGATACAAGGTAATTTCTTAATTATGTTAAATTGCACTGTACTTTCTTAACTATTGACGTTTTTAAAGTTATAAGCTCATCCCGATGTTACACTCATCAAGATCTTTCATTTGAGTACCCACATGCATTTTTATATATTTTTCATATATACATATATATAATATATATAAATATATGAAAAATTCATGTTGGTACTCAAATAAAAGGTCTCAATGAATGTAGCATCGGGATGAGCTTATATTTTAAAAAATGTCAATATTTTACAAGATACAAGGTCGTTTCTTAATTATTTTTGAATGCAGCCTAAGTATTTACTTATCATCCTAAATTTATTATCGGTGAGAATGATATGTAATCTTTAAAAGGCACAAATTCAAGACCTTTGAAATACTAAATCTCACTAAAAAAATCGATTTTGTCTTATGACTAACCTGGACACAAAATTTTCCTTATTCTCTTAATTATATAGATTATATATTCATATCTAATTTTTTTCTCTGTATTTATAGCACTCATTCCCGCAAAAATTTTTAAATGAATTTATCTCAGCAGCTAAAAACGTCATTAATTTTATAGATATTATTAAAATTACTATTCATTGAGAGTTAAAAAATTTAATCATAAATCCCGATGAATTTTAATTAACTTGGACTTTTATCTTTGGTATGAGCAATAGTTGTATAAAGAAACAACTAAGAAACTCACTAAACTGTTAAAGATATACAACACCTTATTGATTATGATGACTGTATGGGTATTTTTTTACTAAAAATAAGTGATAAATTACTCGTTACTCGTATATACAAACACGCACATGGATTATATTTGTTAAATTATCGTAAAACATTGAAATAGCAACATTCATTAACAATGAGTAACATATACACATATTTTATGTACGGATGGATATAATATGTACACCGGACGTGCCTGTGTATATATATACACATGGAACACGTGTGTACGATTAGCGGGACACGAAGATTAGTGTATTATGTAACTCAAAGATACAAATACATACACTATATATGCTTGATAGACACAATCGTCGGCATCTGGAGATGTGCTGGTTAAATTACAGATAAATGGAAAATTATTATAATTAATTTGTGTCTACTGTTTTGTTTCATTGATCATAGGTTAAACGAAAATTAATTATTAAATTATTAGCTATTACTTGAGAAGAAATTTTAATAATTTTATTTAATCTTCTTTTAATAAAATTTTTAATTAAATTAATTTAATAGTAATCATTTAATTTAATAATTAATAATTAATTGAAAATTAATTTAATAATTAAAAATTAATTTAATAATAATAATTTTTTTAATAATAAAAAATCTTTAATAAAATTAGCAGCTTAAGATTTTTTATGTATTATAATTAATGCAATAAATTATTATTATAATTTTTAAATTAATTTAATAAATTGATCAATTGATTTCTTAATTTAAAATGAATGATTAATCTATTAACAAGATAAATTAATAATAAAAGAAGTTGTAATTGGTAGCCGTCTTTTTATATCGATTATATTCTATATGGTTGCGGCTAGTTGCTGCTACTGCACCAAAACTTACCAGGAGAGAACCAGGCCAGGAAAATAATTAATTGAAAACTGTTTAGTTGTGACGTAGATTATAATACATATCATGTGCTCTACATAATGATGAATAATAATGATTAATTAAAAAAAAAAAAAAAAAAATTTGATCTTGGATTATTTTTCTTTTTTTTTTTTTACTTGTTCTTTTTTATGCATTCTTATCTATTAAAATAAAAATCATAAAAATAAAAAAGATAGTTTCACAAGATGATAACTGACGATAAATAAACAAAATAAATTTTTTTTTACAACGACGGTAAATATTTGTTGTGACGTACAGAGTTCGAAAGGTCAAAATTTTTTTTAGTAATATTTATGTTGCATCACCAAGGTTGTCTATGAAGCTCATTCACTAAATATGTTAACATAGGCTGAAGGGAATTATTAAATAATACTGCAAGGTTAAATTACTTTTAATGGACAATTATTGGTATTTTAATTATTTTTTTAAGCTGTTAATTAATTATGAGTTATTATGTGGCAAGCTAAATATTAAATCTTAATTTTATTTTTTATTAAATTTATTGTTAAAAATTGTTATTTTATTTTTAAAAGAGATTATTGTTATTTTATTTTTAAAGATAAAGTTAAAGGTATTTATTTGATAAGAGTTCATTGTCGTTATTTACAATTTAATTAGTACACCTTCAAGTACAATTTTATATCTGGATTATATACAAGTATATCTCTGTGCATAAATATTGAATGAGTGCCAAACCATCGAATAATAATAATTAAAATGAAGTAATTACATACAGTACCTAGCTAGACTGTTGCTATAAATTGAATTGTTTTCACTTTAAGTTCTCTTTTCCGCAATATTACGTTACTTCTTTGGTTGAGTTGCTGTTACTGCTAATTTAACTACTCATACAACAAACGCCTAGTTTTTACCGTCCATTATTTATAATGTACTTTCCGTATTCATGCTTTCAATCATGTTTCACTATTTTTATTCTATTATTCTTATAATTTATTATTAATGAATAGTCTTCTTGGTGAAAGTTATTGATTAGATTAAAATTATATACTTAGGACAAAAAATATCTTCTCAGGGTATCTTAAATGTAACATCCGATCTATCGTATGTAAAATGTGCAAATTATTATTATTACACGGCTGATGTCCAATCTAAATCCATTAAAAAATAATTGCCAATATTATCATTTAAAATTCTTCTGCTTAATTGATATTTGATATAAATAATAATAATAATAATAACAATTTGAATTTGAGCCTTTTCAAGGTTTCAGATCATTCTCACCGATAGTTAATTTATTATAAGTATTTAGGCTGCATTCGAAAATTCTCTATCTCTATATCTATAGATACATAATTGAGAAATGACCTCGTATCTTGTAAACTATCGACATTTTTAAAGATATAAGCTCATCCCGATGTTACACTCAACGAGACCTTTCATTTGAGTACCCACATCATATTTTCATATATTTTACATATTTATATATATATATGTATATATGAAAAATATATGAAAATGCATGTGGGTATTCAAATGAAAGCTCTTAACGAGTGTTACATCAGGATGAGCTTATATTTTAAAAAACGTCAATATTTAAGAAAGTACAGTGCAATTTAACATAATCAAGAAATTACCTTGTATCCTATAAACTACTGACATTTTTAAAGATATAAGCTCATCCCGATGTTACACTCATCGAGACCTTTCATTTAAGTACCCACATCAATTTTTCATATATTTATATATATATATTACATATATTTATATATGAAAAATATATAAAAATGCATGTGGGTATTCAAATGAAAGCTCTTGATGAGTGTAACATCAGGATGAGCTTATATCTTTAAAAATATTAATATTTAAGAAAGTACAGTGCGATTTAACAATTATTTAAATGTTATTTATTTAAATATCAAAATTTTATTTATTTATAATTTACAAGTCACGGCAATCACGTAGTGACTGCAAGGTTGCTAATTATTATGATTATTAAAATATTGAATTTTAACTATTTTTAAAAAATAATTTAATAATTTTTTTCCAGCATGTTCAAGCGAAGAAAAAAAACTTTTAGTTCTTTTAAATCCAAAATCTGGACCTGGGCGGAGTCGTGAAATCTTTCAAAGGCGAGTTCATCCAATATTATCTGAAGCAGAAAAACTATACGAAGTTCACGTAACTAAATGTCAAAATTATGCGAGAGATTTTATAAGAACACGAAATATTTATCAGTGGAGCGGAATATTATGCGTAGGAGGTGACGGAGTTGTTTTTGAAGTTATAAATGGTCTTTTAGAAAGACCAGATTGGAAACGTGCGTTAGAAGAGCTTCCTCTTGGAATAATTCCGTGTGGATCTGGTAACGGTTTAGCGAAATCAATTGCATACGCTAAGCAGTAAGTTGAATTATATTTTACAAAAATTATCTAATAATTAATTAATTTAATAAATTATTTTATTTATTATTACAGAGAACCTTACGATTCAAATCCATTTCTTATTAGTGCATTATCAGTGGTTAAAAATAAGTACAGTCCAATTGATTTAGTACGAATTGAAACAAGAAGCCAGATTCTTTATTCATTTCTATCAGTAGGCTGGGGCTTGATCGCGGACATTGACATCGAGAGTGAGAGGCTCAGAGCTATTGGTGGGCAACGTTTTACTATTTGGAGTATAGCCAGGCTTATAGGTCTTCGTGTTTATAAAGGAACCGTCTCATATTTACCTTGTGATAATAAGGTCCAAATACCGAGTATAAATGAAAATAAAACGAATGGAACTTATTTATATGAGACTAAATCTTACAATGATAATAATGGCACTGGGATTATTAAAAATAATCATGATATTATAACTCATTCAAAAAGTTACGGCGACGACCTTGATCGGTTAAGTATATTATTCAATATTCCGTAATATAAATAATCATTATTGTAATACCTATTTATTTTAATTTATTTTAATTAGCAGTTATTGTGATGGAGTTAAAGAATCAAAAAGTTACCATGATGTCCTTGACTCAGTAACAAGCGATTTAGGAGACATGTATTTAGACGATGATAATAATGAAATAGTTGGTGAAAATTTATCGCTTGAAACTGAAGTTCAAACTCGAACTAGATTGGATAGTTTTTATTCAGCTACTTCTAGAAAATCTACTTACTATAGTACTGGTTCTGCTTCAAGTTATCATAGTATGGAAGACAGTAGCAGTTTAACACCAGGTATATGATTTTTTTTTAATTAAATAATGACTTTTGTTAAATTGCACTGTATTTTCTTAAATATTGACATTTTTAAAGATATAAACTCATCCCGATGTTATACTCCTCGAGAGCTTTCATTTGAGTACCCACATGCATTTTTGATATATTTTTCATATATATATTTATATAATATATATAAAATATATAAATATATAAAAAATTGATGTGGGTACTTAAATGAAAGGTCTCGGTGAGTATAACATCAGAATGAGCTTATATCTTTAAAAATATCAGTAGTTGACAAGATACAAGGTCATTTCTCAATTATTGATATTTTCAAAGATATAAGCTCATCCCGACGTTACACTCATTAAGAGCTTTCATTTGAGTACCCACATGCATTTTTATAAATTTTTCATGCATACATATATATAATATATAATATATAAAATATATAAATATACAAAAAATTGATGTAGGTACTCAAATGAAAGGTCTTGATGAATGTAATGTCAGGGTGAGCTTATAAATTAAAAAATGTCAGTATTTAACACAATACAAGGTCATTTCTTAATTATTGATATTTTTAAAGATATAAGCTCATCTTGATGTTACGCTCATCAAGAGCTTTCATTTGAGTACCCACATGCATTTTGATATATTTTTCATATATAAATATATATAATATATATAAATATATGAAAAATTGATGTGGGTACTCAAATGAAAGGTCTCGATGAGTATAACATCAGGATGAGCTTATATCTTTAAAAATTTCAATAGTTCACGAGATACAAGGTCATTTCTCAATCAAGTATCTAGAGATAGAGCATTTTTTAGTGCAGTCTAAATACTTATTATAATAAATTTACCATCGGTGAGAATGATATAAAATCGTAAAAAGGCTCAAATTCAAGTTAAGACCTTTGCAATGACACTAATAATAATTTAATATTATGATTTTTAAATATAATAAAAATAATTTTTTAAGATGGCGAGGAGAACATTGTAAATAATAGATGTGTATACGGGCCATCGTCAAGTCTTCCCGCTTTGACGGCACAACTTCCCAGCGGGTGGACACAAATAAAAGGTACGGTTATATAAATAACAATATTGATAATTTTATAAATATTTATTGTAAAAAAAATATTTTTTTCAGGAGAATTTGTAGCTGTTCATGCAAGTTATCAATCACACATCGGTGAAGATGGATTTATTGCTCCGAGAGCTAAACTTGACGATGGAATAATATGGCTTTTAATTATTAAAGCTGGTATAACGAGAACTAATCTCCTCCAGGTAATAAATAATAATAATAATAAATTTTTTTTAAATTAAAATTGTTAATTATTTTTTTTTTTTATTGCAGTTTCTCCTCGGTTTAAACGCTGGTACTCATTTAACTAGTACCGGAGTGGATATGATTCCTGTAAAAGCATTTCGTATTGAACCAGAGACAAGTACGACTGGTAATATGACTGTTGATGGAGAAAAAGTTGATTATGGCCCGCTACAAGCCGAGGTCTTTTCATCTATGGCAACAGTCATGAGTCCTTGACGAGAACCTTGAAAAAAACCTTAGTTTCTCTAAACTTACATATTTACGGCATTTCCTAAAAAATATTCCAATGAATATTTAGATCTTATTTTAAAAAAATATTCAATTTAAAAGAAATTTATTATTATTGTTAGTAGTAATTGAGATAATAATAATTTATCAATGTCATATTGATAAAAAGAAATATGGTATCAATTTTAATTTTTTTTTTTTTTTACAAGTTAATATCTTTAACCAATAAAATTTATGTTTGTAAATATTGTACTTTCACCTCATGATTTGGCAGCGCGTTATCCCATTTGGTGGGACACACTGTGCCCTATGATATTGTACTTTAATCATCGAGTTGATAATTATCTTATTAATATTAACTTTGTAGATAGAATAATAGAGCAAACCAATTGTTAATGCAAAAAATGTGTATTAAAGTAATGAATGTCTAGTTTTTTATTTATTAGTATATAAATTTTAGCTCAAGTGAAAAATATATTTTTGTTCAACATAACTAATTTTAAGTTATTCAATTTATCAAAAAATTATTATTCAGAATTTGAGAATTATTATTAATTAAATGAAAATAAAGTAATTATTTACAAGTAAAGTCCACTATTTTAATTTTCAGTTTTTTGAACGAAATTTTTTTTTTAATTTTGATATTTTTTTTGAAAAATACATAAAAAAATGAACAATTAAAAAAAAATTGATTATTACAATTTTAACAATTTTTCAAAAAAATTTATATATTTTTTAGAAAATTGTGATGTAAAAAAATGAACAATTAAAAAAAAAATTGATGATCAAAATTTATTAAATTTTACAAATTTTCAAAAAAATTTATAAATTATTTAGAAAATTGTGATATTTAATTTTTTTTTTATGTACTTTTCAAAGAAAAATATATAAAAAAATAAAATAAAATAGAAATTTTATCCAAAAAAATGAGCCAAAATTAATTCTTATTTTTAAAAAGCAAAAAAGTTATCAAAATCTTAATTTTTTTCTTTCACGATATTTTTTATCATAAATGTGCCATAAAAACAAGCAATTAAAAACTGTTAATTTTTCACTTAAATATGGCCAAAATTAAGGTGGACCCCACTTGTAAATAATTACTAAAAATAATTTAAAAATAAAAAAAAATCAATTATTGACAATGATCATTATTATCAAAACTTGAAGTATTAATGTTATGCTTCTCCGTCCTAATTACTGTAAAACAATTTTATTAATAAAATATCACTTTGTTATTATTATTTTTATTTATCTTTATTCTATCATTTTTATATCATTGACTTATCAAGAATAAACAAATAATGTTGTTGTTATTATTGTTAAAAAATTTTTTTAAGTTATTTTTATTCATTTTTCTATTACAATATCTATATGAAATCTACTTAGTTCAATTTTTTTACGTACAATGTAAAATAATTACATATCACATATTTACAAGTTTTAGTTGTTTCAAAACTACAAGGTAAAATTTATGTATTAAAAAGAAAAACGAGTTTAAAAAAAAAAAAAAAAAAAAAACAAAAAAACAAATTTACAACTAGTGTCTATTTTGACAATGACGATAGTATATTAAATATAAATTTAGTATTATCATTTTAATACATCGTTATGTTAAGTAAAAATTTAATGTTAAGATTTGAGATTAATCATCTTAGTAAGAAACAAAAAATTATTTTAAGTAAGTACATACTTAAAAAAGTATTATGTATACATATAACAAGTTCTTTTTTGTTATAAATACAGTTTATAATAAATATGACAGGTTTGCTAATATTTTTGTTTGTAGTTATAAATTATAATTCAAGAAAGAAAATTATAAATATAGATCAAGAAATTTTTTGGTAATTATTTACAAGTGGGGTCACTATTTTCATTTTTTTGAACGAAATTTTTTTTTGAAAATTTTTATAAATTTTTTTTTTAATACATAAAAAAATGAACAATTAAAAAAAAATTGATCACAATTTTAACAAATTTTTAAATTTTTTAAAAAATTGTGATTCAACTTTTTTTTTTTTAATAGTTTTTTTTTTATGTACTTTAAAAAAATATATAAAAAAAAGATAATAAAAATTTTATCCAAAAACTTGAGACCAAAAATTTTTTCCAACTTTTAATTATTTTTTATCATAAATGCGCCGTAAAAATAAGAAGAATAAAAAAAAATGTTAATTTTTCACCTAGATATGGCCAAAAATAGGTTTGACCCCACTTGTAAATAATTACCAAATTTTCTTCGTAACTGTCAATATGAGCTTTGGTAAGCAATTTATAAATAATGTATAAGAAAAAAAAAATAAAAAATTCTCAAACGAGTAAATAATATATATTATCAAACAAAAAAAGAAAACAATTAATATTTATATTAATTTTTTAAACTTAGTGAGTCTATACTTGCGAGTAAATCTTTTAAGTCATCTTGAACTTGATCAGATGTATTAGAAAGAGTTATTCTTGAGCAAAAAGAACTAAGAGCTTCGATTTGTTCACAAGCGTCTTTTTGTTTTTGTAAGTATGCCAAAAGCATGCCCACTATTTTGTGAACTTGATCTTTAACTTTATTCATATCTGAACCTTGACAATTCTGCAACATTCTGAGTTTTGTCTGCGCCAATTGTAGGGGATTATATCCATGACGATCAGAGGATAAAACATCGGTTCCCGCTTTTAATAACAGTGTCACTACGGAGATTTTGCTTGTAACAGCAGCCAAATGTAAGGGTGTGTTGCCTATGCAGTCGGTTTGGTTGGGATCGGCTCCATAGTCAAGCAGGAGCTTAACTATTTCCGTAAATCCCCTAAAAAATATTATTTTAAATATAAAAAATTCATTTTTAAGGACATTATTTATTTTATTATATTATTAATAACAATTTAGTATAATAATTTATTATACCTGCAAGATGCTAAATGAAGTGGAGATCGGCCCTGATCATCATGATTATTCGGTGACACACCTTTTTCAAGTAATCTCGTAAGTAGTTCAGTGTTATTAGTAGCTGCTGCAAATCGCATTTTCCTTCCAGATGATGCACCATAAATACTATTTAATCGTCTAGGTTTTTGCGTCCAAAATAGACCGGCTTTTTTATATTTCCTGTTAATTTCTTGATACGGTACAAAACTATCATTCGTGTTCAACTCATCTGTTCAAAAATTAATAATGATCTATATTAATAAGAGAATAAGAAAAATTTTTAATTTTAGGATATTCATATAATTAAATCGGTTTTTTTAGTAAAATTTAGTTTCATTGCAAAGGTCTTGACTTAGATTGTGTCTTTTCAACGTTTCATATCATTCTCACCGATAGTCAATTTATTGTGATATTAAGGCTGCATTCGAAAATGTATCTCTAGATACATAATTAAGAAATGATTTTGTATCTTGTGAAATATTGACATTTTTAAAGATATAAGCTCATCCTGATGTTACACTCATCGAGACCTTTCATTTGAGTACCCACATCAATTTTTCATATATTTATATATATTATATATATATGTATATATGAAAAATATATGAAAAATTGATGTGGGTACTCAAATGAAAGCTCTTGATGAGTGTAACCTCGGGATGAGCTTATATCTTTAAAAATGTCAATAGTTAAGAAAGTACAGTGAAACTTAACAAATATCTAGTAAACTAATGGAATTATTAAAGATATAAGCTCACTCCGACATTACACTCATCGAGACCTTTCATTTGAATACCCACATCAATTTTTCATATATTTATATATATATATTAGATATATGTATATATGAAAAATATATCAAAATCCATGTGGGTACTCA